GACCCTGCAGGGGCAGAGTGGAGATAACCTCCCAGACTTGGCAGAGGCTAGTGAGCGCTGGCCTGTGGAGGCCCAGCCTGTAGGTGGGGAGGAGGGTGGGCGGGACAGTCTGGAATCTTCCCTCCAGCTCCCCCTTCTCCTCTTTTCCCCATAAAAGAATTCCAGGAGTGGGAGGGCCAAGCCAGGAGGGCCTCTGGATGCACCAGCCCAGCCAAGTGGGGAGGCCTGGGAAGTCCACAGGTAGAGAGGCAGAATGGAGAGAGGGGAATGGAGAGAGGGAGGCAGTGCTTCGGAGAAAGGGAACCTTCTCCTTCAGAGAGCAAATGCCCAGAAGGATCCAGAACGGCTGCCCGCTCCTGACCAGGCTGGTTTCATTTCTGAGCAGAGCTCTCCCAGGCCGGCTCCTCCAGGAAGGCGACGGTGGGCACAGCGCAGGGCTTGTCCGCCACACAGGCCTGGATAGCTGACCTCCCTCAGTTTCCCCATCATGAAAACAGGTGCGACCCTGACTCTCAGCAGCCCATGCTGAACGTGCCGTGGGCTCAGCACAGCCCATCCTAGCAAGGTGGTCACTCGGGGCAAGTCAGAGGTGGCTTGCTAAGGGACAAGCTGGTAAAGACAGTGCCAGTGCCCAGACGGCCAACTCCAGAGCCTGTCACCTGCAGCCACTGCGCTGCATCTCCTGGGGTGAGGAAGGAGGGTGGTGGCAGCTGACGTGTTTAAGTCGAAGGGCAACATGATTCTCCGTGCACAGACACCTCTCAGCTGATCACATTCACAGGCCACCTTTTGGAGGGCTTGTTCCATGCCAGGCCCTGCGCTGAGCACTTGATACATGTTATCTCCTTTAATCCCACAACACCCTGCTGAGACTGGACTTCTCATGCATTTCACAGAAGGAAACACCCCTGAGCCTGGTTACCTAACACCGCTGCAGGTGGAGCCTGGGTTTCAGCCCCGCATCCCGTTCCTGAGCCACATTGCCTGGCCCTCATCCGTGAAGGACCACTGCTGTCCTTCCCTCTCCCTGGACCCCTTCCTCCTCCTGCCCTCTCAATCACACCCCCTTGCTGGTCTGTCCCTTCTCCCAACCCTCGGCCTTTCGCGTCTTGGGGAGCCTCCTATTGAGATCCCTGCCTCCTTTAATTACCTGGGTTCACAGCCTCTGTGAATATCAGGGCCACCTGTGCTGTCATGGAATGTCGTGGGGATGGTTCCCTGCCTGGTGGAAGTGCAAACCTTGGCTCTGTGCCAGACCCTCTGCTCTGAAGGGTAGAAACCAACGTCTCCTGGTGCCTGGCCTGGGCCTGGGCCTGGGCTGCTGTGTCTCTGCCGTCAGGGTCCATTAACTGGGATGAGGGAGGAAGGAGGAGAACAGAGGGTGGGGAGGGAGCTTCTTTGGGTTGCCTTCCGTGGCTCAGCAAAGGGGTGACACTCAGGGATGTAAGATTTGAAGTTCTTTCCAGGGGCTCCATAGCCCCCCAAACCAGGCCTTAGAACCTCCCCATCACACCCCTTTCCCTGGGCTGACTTCACTCCAGCCATACGGGCTGCTTTTTTGCTCCTCAAACTCACCAACATCACTTGACTGGCAGCTTCCCACTGTATGGTCCCCTTTCCAAGGTCCCCTCTGAGAGGCTTCCCTGGACCCCCTGCTCCCCTCTGCACTTGATCTCCACACCCTGTTCTTTTCTGAGCATTCTGAAATGATGGTGTTGATTTGCTTCCATGGGGGTGTGTCTCCCCCCTTAGACCACATGGCAGGTCCTGCCTGCTCTGTCCACTTCTGCAGTCGGATCATGGAAGCTACACCGTGAGCTTCGCCCGTCCTCTTGCACTTGTGAGGTGGTCATTTTTATTGCGCCTGGTTTGTTCGATGATGAGTGGATAAAAGTGCTGGAACCCACGTTGATTAAACGAAGGCAGGAGACCCTCAAACATGGGCACCTTCTTCCTTCTCACCCTGGCCTTCAGGCACAGAAGGGGCAGGGGCAGCTTGGCCCTGGTGCCTGGCTGTGGCCGCAGGTGAAGGAGTGTCACCAGGTGTTATGAAATCGAAGCTGTGGGAAATGTGCCTGAAGCGGCCCAGGGCAGGAAGAACCAGCCTGCCCACTGTGCCCAGGCAGGGAGGAGAGGTTCTGCCGGGGTCTGGCCAGTTCTTGGCTTGGAGTCGGAGGGCGGGAGTGAGTTGGGGGCCAGGGTCCCGCTGGTGGCAATGAAAAGGTGACTGGGAAACTTGGGCTTGCTCAGGAGCAGTAGGCACATAGGTTACCTGTCCTCAGACCCAAAGAATCACCACCCATGACGGGCGCTTGGCAGAAGCTTTTCCACTCCTCCTACTGCTTCCTGAGAAGACCACGCCCCCTAGACCCTGAGTGCCCACTATGGCCATGTGTCCCTGGAACCTTGCCCCTCAACCCATTGGCAAGCAGCAACCAGCTGCTCCCCAGCGGCCCCAACTCCTGAGCTGCTTTCTGCTCTCCCATAGGTGCCCCTCGAGCGTGCACCTGGCAGAACCTCCCTGTCTCCAAGGTGACACATCCGGGCTGTTTCCCCAGGAGGGCCAGTTGTGAAACACTCAGGAATGTCTGCACTCCTTCTGAGATTCCGCACTGAGAAGAGGCAGCGCTCGCTCTTGCCTGGCGCCCTTCTTCCTCTTGCCTCTCCAGCATCTGGGTCATTTGATGTCATGATTGGGGTTTGGGGGCAGCCCAAGATGTGGAGGCTGGAGGCTGGGACCAAGCAGATCTGGCTGGGAAGGAGCTGGGGCTGGGAGTCCCCAGCAGGCCCCCAAGTCCTGGCCACATCTCAAAGCAGACATCTCTTCCCAGTTTGCATTCTTGGCACCTGCGCAGGGTGGAGAGCTGCAGGCCGAGGAGCACCCACAGATCCCCAGGAGGAACTGTCCTCACCGCTCACTCGCTGACAGGAAGAGTGAGTGTGCACTAGTGTGTGTTTTAGCTCAGTGCAGCTAAGACACTTCTCTCCATCCTGATTCTCTGAATGGCACGTCTCTGCACACTGAATAATTCATCTCCCTCTCGGCATTTGTTCCAGAGAGAATCTTGCTGTCCAGATTTCTTGTTAAGTTACACAGTTCTTCCCATACCAGCTTTTCTCTTCCCCATGAAGAGCTCTCTGAGAGCCCAGGGATCAGTCCTCTGCCTACCGCCCCATGACTGCATCCCAGGGGAGGTCAAATATCAACCCAAAGCCTCTCTCCTCTCACCCTCTCCTTCTAACTTTGGGTCCTGTTACCTCGCTTCCTTTATTCCCACTGGGTACCATGTCTGCTAGCACGAAACAGCGCACCAGCCCTGGTGGGACGTCTGCTTCTGTCACATTGCTGACGCTTATAGCTCACATGCGTCTGAGCTCTGACTTTGCAACGAGCAAGCTTGGAATCATCCATGGAGTTGACGGTTTCTGGAAAAATGATGCATTTTTGGTGTTTCAGCCCTGTCCCCTAACCCTCATTCCCATCCTGCGTGGCGGGAGCTCAGCAGATAATTTGTATGGAGGACTTTGAAACGTCTCATTGCTGTTCATGGAAGAGCCATAGATAAGTTCATTGAGGATCTTTGCACTGAGACCTAGAAATCCAAAGGTTTTCCCGTGCCCCCACCTGCTCCAGATGTCCCCCTGGTTCAGCTTCACCCTCTGTCCCTCTAGGGTTACTGGGTTCATTTTCCAGACAGTTCTGAGGCTCAGTCTATCTTATTAATATTTATTAGCAAAGCTTAGGTCTTGGAATCTAGCAGTGGAGCTTCAGGAGGCCTGGTGTTTAGTAAGCACATGACGTGGTTCTCTGTAGTTGGTAGAATCAAGTGAGAGCGCCTATGACCAGTCAGGGAACATGAAGATATATAACATGCTTTCTAAGCCTGGACTGAGCCATTGTTCAATATTTTAATTATAATTAATGTACGAACATTACAGGGGATTTAGTTTTAAGAAAAAAGAAAAATATTTAAATTGCATCCAAATCCTTATACCCAGATAACTCTTCAGGTAACGTTTTTAATGTGCATCTTAACAGTTTCCCTCCAAATTCATTCTGATTCTCTACCACTGTGCCTCAGTTTGCCAATCTGTAGAAAGAGTACAAAGCAGAGCCCCCAGGGCCTCCAGAAGCGAAGGGGAGGAAGTAGGGAATATTAGAATAAGTGTCTTAGGCAGAGGCAGCAATGGGAAGAAACCAAAGTGGCTATCTAAAGCAGCCACTCCTGCTGAGTCCCATGTGCCTGGATTCCTGGTTCCCCGTGATCTGATGAAAATACTCGATAAATGGTTTGTAATAGTTTTCCAGGCTTCACAAGCCTTTGTTGGTTTAGTTGGGTGATTTGCCTATTTGATTTAGCCACTAAGATCACCACCACTTCCCTCTCCATGAGATGGGACGGAGAGTGTAGTTATTGCCAAAAGATAAGTTTAACTGGGCTTGTCTAGGGAGGGACAGCAGTGGGTACAGACAGTTGGGAACCATTGCAATCAGCAAATAAATACTTCTCCCTGGCCCAGCTCACAGGGGTGGAGCATCTTCTGTTCTAGATGCTGTGGTAAGCCAGCTTTTTGCAGGGCAAGTGGGCACAGCAAACACAGGAGAGAGCCAGGGTAAAGACTGGAGACCTGGTGGCCAGCAAGTTACAGGTGGGAAGGCCAGAGATGACTGGAGTCCAAGCCAAAAAGCCAAGACTTGACCTTAGAGCTCCATCCTGCAGACCCTCAGTTAGAGATGTGGGAATCGAGGCCCAGAGTAGGAAGGTGACTGGCTCAGGCCCCTACCAAAGCCAGGGCTCAAGATGGCCTCCTTCCCAGGGTGACCTTGTCTGATGCTGCCGCAGAATATGGTCACCTTCCCAGAACAAGGGAGAGGGCGGAGCTGGTGGCATAACAGTGCAGAACTTCTGGGTCTGTTGGGCCAGCCCTGAGGAGCAGCAGGTCGCAGGAGCTTGGGGGACTCTAGGCTGATGGAGTCTGTTTCTCCTCTCCCTTGCCAGGTACACCAAACCGCTCACCTTTGCTGACTGCATTAGTGATGAGCTGCCACTGGGATGGGAAGAGGCGTATGACCCACAAGTTGGAGATTACTTCATAGACCACAACACCAGTAAGTTCCCCGCCGTCCTGCCTCCCCTCCTCATCCAGCTCCCTCCCCACGCCCACCCCCTCCAAATCTGGAAGAGCCACAGCAGACATTCTCCACGCCAGATTGTGTTTTGTTTTATGAAGACGTAGATAGAGATGTCAGTGTGGCTATAGATAGATAATATATGCTCATGAAAAACAACAGTTTAGAAGAATTTTGCATCGAATGTAAAACTCCTCTTGTCATCCACCTCCTCGATTTTATAGAGGCCGCCACTGCTAACAGTTTCTTGTGTATCATTTCAGACATTTCCTGATCCTATGTGATTGTGTGTATGTATGTATACATGCATATATTCTTTTTTTCACATATATAGATTTATGTGCATCTTGCCTCCCTCCCTAAAAAAAGTAGATGTGTCATTGTCATTGACAGACAGTTTTGGAGAAGCCAGAGCCCTAGAAAATTCTGAGCAGCTCGTACGTACATATGACCATAGTAGATTGGTCTGCGTGTGTCTGTGTCTCTGGCCCACTGTGCCAGCCAGCCCACCCTCACTTCATATCTGTGGTCCCCAGTACAAAGATTCCTTGTGTCTCTGTTTCTGGGACGATGATGGAAGCTTGTCTGACAGGTGGTAGAATGTGGAGAACAGTTCTCCAGCCGGAGAGCCCACGTGTGTCTGGGTTTCATTCACTGTGCAGCCCCCTTAGCCAAGAGCATCCCTGTCCTTCTCAGTCTGCTGCCCCATTTGTCCATGTGTTCAGAGGAAAAGGATTTTCCTGATTTGCTCTTGGTTATCGAAACGATAGGATTCTCTTTCGGATTCCCTCCTCTTTCAGGCAAGAGGAGACGGGACTGCAGTGGGTGGGATATGCCTGGCAAAGTCTGAAGAGTAGGGCACCAGCTCCTTAGGGCACCTGTTTATGGAGCGCATGCTCTGTGCCATGCACAATGGTAGGCGCTCCACAGCCATTATTATCTCCTTTAATCCCCCAGTTACCCCAGGGGATGTTACAATGACTGTCCTCATCTTATACATAGGACCTAGAGGTGGTAATCGGCTGCTCAAGACTCAGAGCAAAACGGTGGCTGAACTGGGGCTTTTCTGGGGCTGGAGAGTGGGGTCGTGCTTCTGAGTTTCATTTACCTGTCATTGCAAGTTCTCCTAGTATGGTGACTGTCCCATTCATTTCCTGAGCCCCAATCCTTTGCCTGGTGAGATGCATAGTAGGTGTGGCCTTGACTTTTATTAAATAGAAGAGGGCATGCGTGCATGAATGCACGAGGTGGATGAATGAGCAGACTGTGGTGGGTACCAAAGTGTATAAGAGTTTCTGAGAGACAGCTAATGGCATTAATTGCATTGTTGGGGGTAGCAGAGGTCTTTATTAGCACTCAGGATTGCGTCCTGGATAATGAGAAGTAAATATGCCTAATTGAGTGTGTGTGGGGAATGAGGTTAGCGCTCGGCGGGCTGCTTGGGCTGTCGGGTTAAACGCTGCTGTACCGCTGTACGGAGCCTTAATCAGCCCTTTCCTGCTTCTAATTGCTGAGAGCATCCCCCTCATTAAAATCTCATGGCAGGAGTGGGATTTTAAGGTGCTTCTGGGAGTTGCTGGAGAGATGGAAGGAAGCAAGGAATAGCAGGCCATGGTGAATGTATCCTTGAGGGGCTGAAGGCAGACACAGGGTGTATGCAGGGAGGGGTGATTAAAGGCACCACAAACTGGAATAATTCTGCGTGGTAGTTTTACTAGCTGTGAGGCTGTGAGCTCTCTTTTGGTATGCAGGTGATGTCACAGGGTAGAGGAAACCACTTCTGCCAATGGAGCCATTGATATGAATTTAGCTAAAATACAAGAAGGGGCTTGGGATGTGGCTCAGTGGGTAAGCATCCCTGGGTTCAATTCCCAATAACACACACACACACAGAGTTATAGATCAGCTTAATCAAACAACAGTTTACTCATAAATTTACCATCTAACTTTCATTCATTTAGCAAATATTTATTGAGCACGTTTTCTGGGAGCTGGGAATACACAGGAGTGTAAAGTGACAAAGATCTTTTCTCTTATAGAGGTTTCATTTTTGGCAAAAGAGACAGAAAATAAACTGAATGAACAGATGATGTAGTATGTTAGAAAATCTTTTGTACGATGGGGAAAGAATGTGGGGTCAAGTGTGTGACTGGGGTGGTCAGGGAGGGATGGTGGTGATGGTGGCCAATGACAGTAAGAAATATGATCTTCAGGAAAGAAGAGCTTGTTGAGACCAGGAGATCTGAGCTAGAAAGAAGTCAGGTAGCCATTCAGAGTAGAGAGCGAAGCTGCAAGGTGTGATCACACTTAGTTCATTCAGGAGTCAGTGAGCAGAGCAGTGTCCACACAGTGAGTGAGGACCAGGGGCGAGGACATTGGCAGAGGGCCGCCAGATGGTTTTGCCCCTTTTACTTGTTAAAAGTAGGGAATCTTTATATTGTTTTTCTCTCTATAATTTTTCTAATGATGTGTTTTCTGAGTACTGTATCCACAGGTTCTGCATTTGTGGGTTCAACGAGCCTTGGATTGAAACTATTTGAAAAAAGCATTGCTTCTGTACTGAACATCCACATTCTTTTTTCCTTGTCACTGTTCCCCAAACAACCCAGTGTGACAGTTCCTTACATGGCATTTACATTTGCTAGGTATTGCAGTCTAGAAGTGACATAAAGCATACAGATTCATGCACATATGTTGCATATAAATACTACCCCAGTTTATTTTAATTTTTTTTGGTGTGGGGGGGTTCTTAATCACTGAGCTACAACCCTAGCCCTTTCTTTAAAAAAGTCTTTTATTTAGAGACAGTTGGAAAGGATCTAGCAAAGTTGCTGAGGCTGGCATTGAACTTGCAATCCCCCTGCCTTAGGATCCCAAGCCACTGGGAATACAGTAGGCATGTGCCACCATGCCTGGCTCACCCCATTTCATGTAAGGACTTGAGCACCCATATATTTTAGTATCCTTGGAGGTCCTGGAATCAATGCCCTGAGGAAACCAAGGGATGACCGAATAGAATAATGAAGTCAAAGGTTATAACACTTTAGGGACTTTGGGATGTCTCCCTTGATTAATGAGTCTTCTCAAAAGCTCCCATCAGCCCACTGTACCACAAGCTGTAAGTGTGCTGGTTTCCTCCCGCCTTCCTCAGAATGGGGCTGTCTTCATTTCTTTTGATTTTTTTTTTTTTTGATTAGTTGATCATAGGTTTGGCCTGTGTGGTGCCAGTGTTGAATGTTTTCCAGATGTTCGGCTGTTTTAAGACAGTTGCTTTTGTTGTTATTGTTATAGCTTTTGGAAAATACAGTGCTGTTGCCTTGTGGGTGTGTTTGCAGTGCGTGTGTAGGAGGCCGGTGGGCACACAGCTCAGGAGTGTGGTACTCCCACGTGCCAGCAGCACGTGCAGAGGTGTGGCGCTTGGGCAGAGATGGGGAGGAGTGCTTCTCAACCACAACTTTACTGAGCCAGCCCAGCTCCTATTGGAAGTAGCTTTCTCCCGGGCAGAGGGATATGAGGGAGAAAGGGATGGGGACATGACGGTTTAGGAAGGAAAGTTTTCAGGCTGCTGAATTATTAAGTTGTTGTATAACTTCAATAAAAGTAAGCCGGGCTGGGCACAGTAGCCCACGCCTATAATCCCAGCAACTCTCGAGGCTGAGGCAGGAGGATCAAGAGTTAAAAGCCAGCCTCAGCAATAGCGAGGTGCTAGGCAACTCAGCGAGACCCTGTCTCTAAATAAAATACCGAATAGGGTTGGGGTTGTAGCTCTTTGGTTGAGTGCCCCTGAGTTCAGTCCCCAGTACTCCTCCCAAATTTTAAAATTTATAAAAGCAAATGAAGAATAGTTGGCTATGGTGATCTCTAAAAGTCTCTCCAGGTCACCTCTTTTGGTGAGATAGACTTGAGGAAGAACAGTGGTGGCAGAAGGGCAAGGCTAAGGGAGGGACCCCTTAACAGTGACCAGCTCAGCACTAACAGCATGTGACATGACCATTGAGGCAGCTTTTAAAAAGTCAGTGCCCTTCAAGGATGGTCTTTTCAGCAGTTGCTGGTACAACTGGTATCCACATGGAAACAATAAAAAAATACACCTGCACTTTATTGCTGCCTCATGCCATATAGGAAAGTAAACTCAAAATGGGCAATGTAAACACTAACGCATGGAGAAGTAAACACAGGAGAAAATTTGCAAGATTTTATGGTAGCCAAAGGTTTTGTTGTTTTTGTTTGTTTTTACTGGGGACAAGTTACAAAAAGGACTTACCAAAAAAGAACAATTAGTAAATTGAGTTTCATCAACTTAAAACCTCTGTTTTTCAAGAGAAAAACTGAAAAGGGAAGCCACAGATGAGGAGAAAATGTTTATAATATATCTCTCTGACTCTTATACAGAGCTCCTATAACCTGATGCTAAGCCCAGCAAGCCAATTAAAAAAAAAAAAAAAAAAGGCAAAAGATATTTTTGCACTTCCTAATGAAGAAATGCACATAACCAATCGGCACATAAAATTGTGCTTTACATTGTTGGTTTCAGGGAAATACAAATTAAAGCTACCATGAGGTACCACCACATACTCGTTGAATGACTTAAAAATTGACAATTGCAATAGCAAGAAAGGGACAGCTGAAGCTATGACAGAAATGAATCTCAAAATCCTGATGCTGATCCAAAGAAGCAAGACCCAGAACATCTGCTGAACGAGTTTGTCTATTGTCAAGGTCTAAAACTGGAAGGGGGATGGTGGGGGCGGGGGATGGAGAGGATTGACTAGGAAAGAGCACAGGGGTGTCTTGGGCTAAAGGAAATCTAAAAATGATTGAAGTGGTGGTTTAGGATGTATGCATTTGTTAAACTGCACACCTTAAACCACTTCATCGTGTGTAAACTGTGCCTCGGTTGGAGTTTATTTAAACCACACATTGATTCCTACTTCATACTGCACACCAATTTTATAGACATCTCAGGGTAGTTCCACTGTGTAGCCAGGTTGAAGACCAGTGTTCTGGTGTGAGTATGTGTTGTGTTTGTCTGTTTGTGCACCTAAGCATCTGTTTTGGTTTACACTACAGGGGAGAGGAGGGGCTACCACAAATGGTAGGAAAGCCAGGCCAGGCTGTCAGTTAAAGGACCCACATACCTTTGTATTCCAAGGAGCAGAGTTTAGGTCTGAGGCCAAAAGAAATGTGGACTCCCAGACTCCAACCAGAGCATCCCAAGGAGGACCCACCCAGCTGTGATGGAGGGTACCTGTCTGGGGACCCACATTCCATCCAGCTTCTAGCAGGTGGCCTTGCCCAGAGCTCAGCTTCCCCCTGCCAGCCTCAGTGACTGTGGGTCCCTTGGTGTTGTCATCTCTTGCACACTGGTTCTCACCTTTGGCCACATGGGAATTGTCTGGGGAACTTCATAAACCACCATCACCTTGTTGCCACCTCCAGAGGTGGCCCTGTGGTCTGTCCAGGTGTGGGGCCCGGGCTGCAGAGTTTAACAATTCTCTGGGTGAAGAAACTCGTTCTTTGGTGCTGGGGATGGAACCCAGGGCCTGGTGCATGCTAGGCAAGTGCTCTACCGCTGAGCTACATCCTAGCCCTGTGGAAGGTCCCCGTGCCCTATTCTGATTGAAGAGTTCTGGGGCAGGGTTTGGGCCTGATTTTGTTGCAGGAAACTCGTTAGCTGATTCCAATGTGCAGTGAAGACCCCAAATCACTCACTAGAGGAGGCTCAGCGATTTTTTGAGAATTGGGGAAAAGGGCTTTCATAGGTGGATTTTTGAGTATAGAAATTAGCAGAACCTTTGAGAAGGTAGTTTGGTAGTATCTACTCAAATTTAAAAGATGCATAGTCTTCCTCTTTTAAGAAATCTGCCCTTCAGAATCAGCACAGATTCATAGAAGTATGTTTTTAAGGCTCATCACTGTACTATTAATTGTAAAAGACCTGAAAAGAATCCAGATGTTTCCCAATGGAGGTCTGGTTCAATAAAACCTCATACCATACCGTGGAGTACTATGCAGATCTTTAAAAGATCATACACCTATAAAGAACATGGTACATCTCCTGGAGGTGAAAGCAAGTTGATGATCATTATATCTGACATGGGTCATGTTGCAGTAAATATAACTTTATATTATTTACTTATTTGTGTACAGATAACTTTGCATATCATAAACAAGGATTTTTAGTAATGAGGGGGCACCCTCTGTTAGTGTTGGAGTGATGGAAACTCTCACTTCTTTACTTTGTAACTTTGTAATGGTAGAATTGTAGAATTTTTCTTTTTCGTATCTTTTTAATCATTTTTTTTTCAATGAGAACTATGCATGTATTTCTTTTTGTAGCACAGCCTATTGAATCCAGGGCCTTGCACAGACGAGACAAGCACTCTACCACCGAGCAAACCCCTAGCTCTGAAGGTTAAAATTTAATTCTCAGAGCCAGGCGTAGCACTGTGGTAGAGCAGCTACCTAGAGCCACGCAGCCCTGGGTCCCATCCCCAGTACCGGGAAGAACAATTGACAGACTTAAAACACATCTTGAGCCTGGCCAAGACACACCAAGCTTCTTTTCTGTGGCCTGTGCCAGTGGGTTAGTCCCTGCAGGAAAGCCACAGTCTCCTACCCAGCCACCCTGCTGCCCACCACTGCACACGCCCCTCCTCCTCCTGTTTCTCTTCCTCCTCTTCCTTTTTCTCCTCTTCATCTTTTTTCTTTCTTCATTTTTCTTCTCGTTCTCCTCCTTTTTCTTCTTCTTTCTCCTTCTTTTTCTTCTTCTTCTTCCTCCCCTCCTTCTCCCTCTCTGGCTGGCTCCTCCCTCTTGTCTGGTTGAAGGGACGTAAAGCTGTCCTCATGAAAAGCAATTCTCCAGTCCCTGTCTGCAATCTTCACACCTATTTTCCTTCTCAGAGGGAGGAGGAAGAGCTTGCAGAATGGCCAGTCACAGACACCCGGAAGGCTGGCCCGAGGCAGGAGTTTGGTTTTCCTTTCACCATGGTTTGCTTGCTGAACCTGGACAAGGTGCCTCACAGTTTTCTTGGGAACAGTGATGAGAGTCCATTATTCTTCTCTTAACAGGTGCAGAAGTAGATTCAGAGAGGTTGAGCCACCTGCCCCTGGGAACACAGCCTTTGTGGCAGGAATGCGAACCTGGCCCTCTGTTTCTTTGATCCTTCCCTCCTTCACTGGAGATGCTCATGGACCCTCAGAGGAAGGGAGCTGGAGGGCCTAGATTAGGAGGCACAGACTCATATGTCCTCAAAGGCACGTGACATAAATGAATACAGCAGACCTGGTGTAGAAGAACGGAGTGCTGGGGCCAGTGGCCAATTGTGATCCCAAGATGGACAGATCTTCTAAATGACCCAGAAAAGTTTCAAATGAAGATTTTAATGAATGTATCTCCTTATTTTTACTTTTTCATAATCAGTTCAAAATTACTAATACTCTGGGCTAAGCAAAAGCCTGCCTACAGGCTGGTTACTAGGTGGCATGATTGTACGATCTCTTCTCCCGACAACAGGAGATAACTGAGGATTCTTTGATAATCCTTTGCCTGCTTCTTGTCTGCTAGGCAGAAGGGTTTTGTCTTTTTTTTTTTTTTTTTGCAGTCCTGGGCATAGAACCCAGGGCATTGTGCAGGTGAGGCAAGCACTCTACCTCTAACCTACATCCCCAGCCCTTTTTAAAATTTTATTTTGAGGCAAGGTCTCAATAGATTGCTGAGGCTGGCCTCAAACTTGTGATCCTCCTTCCCTAGCCTCCTGAGTGCAGTTGTGAGCCTTCATGCCTAGTTCAGCTGCATTGAAAGAACATCAACCCTTTTAATGTTTTGGATTTTCATTGTTCATGTTTGTTATACACCTGTTTTAAAAAGCCTAAAAAAAAATAACCTACTTCCCAGTTGGTTGTTAAGATTTTGTTTTATCCTCCTAATCATTTTGAGAATGTATATATTTATTTTATTTTGATAAATGCAAAATTATTTATTCAGTTTGCAGGTTCATTTCCATTTACTTTTATATCAGAAGCACATTTGCATTTTGTTAATTTTCCTTCAAAGGCATTATTATTAGTGGCTGCATTATACTGTGCTATGTTAGTAGAACATCTTTATTCAAGTAGTTATTTCCTATATAACCTTGAGCAAGTTAATTAGCCTCTCTGTGCCATATTTTTCTTTTTTGTATAATGGGGATAGGAAAAGAATCTACTTTATAAGTTAGTATAGGGATTGAAGAAGTAAATACATATGAAGTTCCTAGAACAATGCTTTATAGAAAGTAAACGTGAAGGATGTACTTGATGCTTATTATCATGATTTTGTACAAATGCATCTTTGCTTGGATTTTAAGAATCATTTTTATGATAAATTATTATAGAACGAATGATTGGTCAAGTTTATTAACTTTTTTAAGACTCCTAATTTGCATGGTCAGGTAGCCCTCTAGTAAGACTGTTGTAATTTATATTTCTATCAAGCTATATAGTTTCTATTTCTCCATATTCTCTGACATAGTTATTCCTTTCCTTTACTCTTCACTGAAACAGATGACCTTGACCGTCTGTGATGCCCTTGGGCCTCTGTGTCTTGCTTAGAACTCCAGCTTGCTTTTCCTTCCGGCTGTTCTCAGACAGAGATTGACGTTTAGTGTGGAGATTGACAAAACCTCTGTTGGTTTATTTTCTATTTATGTGACTAATCCATATGGAGGCTTTGTCATTTAGAGATTTTAACCCATTTACATTTATTGTGAGTTTCTATGCCTTTTGCCTTTGTTTTCTGGTGGTGAAGATTCCACAGGCGACTAACCCAACCTTTATTTCTCAGATGCTGACTTAGGATCTCTGGGTTCTGTTCCAGAAACCACTCAGATTGAGGATCCCCGGGTACAATGGCAGCGGGAGCAGGAGCACATGCTGAAGGATTACCTGGTGGTGGCCCAGGAGGCTCTGAGTGCACAAAAGGAGATCTACCAGGTGAAGCAGCAACGCCTGGAGCTCGCGCAGCAGGAGTATCAGCAGCTACATGCCGTCTGGGAGCACAAGCTGGGCTCCCAGGTCAGCTGTGAGTACCTCCCACTATCCCCGCTCTGCCAGTACCTGCCAGGAATGGCCATGCTTCGTGCTGCCACCATTGCTTCTCAGTACGTCTGAAATCTGCCTGTCTTTCTCCATCCTCACTCCTCATTTAAACCACCCTCCTCTCCACTGCTCCTCCTGCTCCTAACCTGTGCTCGCTGCGATTCATTGACCATTTACATTGGATTGTATTCCATTTCCTGTGACTATCTTAGAATGCCACCCGGATTGTGCATCTCCTTGTTTAAAACCCGTGAGTGGCTACGGGAGGTGGGGAGCAGAGAGAGGAGTTTTGGTTTGTGAAGATGACAAAGTTCTTGAGATAGTAGTGATGGATGGCAGTATCTTCCAACAATGGGCATGTACTTAATGCCATGAACAGTACATTGAAACATCATTAAAATATTCGTTAAGTATATTGCAATGGGAAAACCAGCAAACAGCCTCCAGTCCTCCCGAGGCCCACAGAGCCCTATGTGATCAGGCTCTGCTGCAACCCGGCCTCCTCTCCTGTGTTCATCACTCGGATGCAGATGCACCACTTTGCTCCCACCCCCGTCCTATGCCCTCAGTCTGCCTCCTGCTCTGTCCTGCAAGCTCCACATCCGGGTCTTTGCATTTGCTGTTTCCCTTCCTAGGAGGCTTTTCTCTTGATCGACTTGCAAGGCAACTCCTCCTTGTCCTTGAAGCCTCATCCTCAGGCCCTTGCCTCTGAGAGGTTTGCTCTGACAACTCTGTCAAAAGCCCCCTTCCTGATGGGCAGGCTAACGTGCCTGTAACCCCAGCTGCTCAGGAGGCTGAGGCAGGAAGATTGCAATTTCGAAGCTGCCTGGGCAAATGAGAAAACCCTGTCTCAAAGTAAAATAAAAAGGGCTAGGGATGTAGTTTGGTGGTAGAGTGCTTGCTTAGCATGATCAAAGCCATGGGTTCCATCCTCAGTACTTACCAAAAAAGGGGGGCCCCCTTCCCCACCATGGCCTCGTCGTGGCTCTGTGGATCTTTCTCGTTGTGGGTTTCCAACACGTCTGCTCCCACTGTAAGGAGGCTTTACAAGGGCAGGGCTCCTACCTTCCCTATTTACCCTAGTGTCCCCAGGAGGGAAGCAGGTAGGCCAGTATCCGCTTTGTCTTTCTTTCCCAGGGCTGGGAGTTACCAGATTGGTAGCTGTCCAGGATCACAATGACCTTTTTGTCTCTTACACTATTTTTAAATAACCAAATATTTCTGTGCTTGCTGAGCACTCATTACACACCAGCACTCCACTACAGTCTGATCAATTTGCAAGGCAACTCCTCCTTGTCCTTGAAGAAGGACTGTTTTATTCCATCTTCATGACAGTTCTGTACAACCCAAGCACAGTTCAAGCATTAATTCAAGCTTAATTCACATCTCCCTTTAACAGATAAGGAAACTAAGGTTTAGGATCAATGCTGTTCCCAGGGTCTTCATGGTGAGTCACAGCAGTAAGTTTCATTTTGTCATTTCCCCCAACACATTCAGTGTGGCCTTGGGGACCAGCCTGAATCCAGGGTTTCAGGGTGGCTCTGGCTTGGTTGGGTCACTGGTCACTGGTCCTGTGTGAAGCCCTTGCTCTGGAAAGTTCATTCTGCTAGCAGGGTGGGCCAAACCATGATGTGTTGCTCGCGGTCCCAGCCCTGCCCTTTTCCTTGGCCACTCAGGAAAACTTCTAGAATCTCAGAGATGACAGAGAAGAACTACATTGCACTCATTAGCCATTTCTGGGTCAGGTAATGTTCTAGAGACTGCCGTGAATCTGTCTTAGCCTGGGCTGCTATAACAAAATACCACAGACCAAGGACCAGGGGCTTACGCTACAGACATTTTTTTCCTTGCAGCTCTGGAGGCTGGACATCTGCTACAAAGGGGCTGGTATGGTCAGATGCTGGTCCAGACTCTCTGGGCTTGCTGACAGCAGTCTTCTCCCTATTCCTGCACGTGACTGAAAGAGAAGGTGACAGCTCACTCTCTGTTTCTTCTTGTAAGGTCACTATCCTATGACGGCAGCCCTACCCTCATGACCTCATCAAAACCTAGTTATCTTCCTGAGCCTCACCTCCAAATACCATCACTTTAGGGCTAGGGCTTTCACACATGAACTCAATGCCTAGTGTTATCATTACCACCATCCTGGAAAGGAGATATTATTGCTTCTAGTGAAACTTAGGTTTAAAGAGATAAAGAGGTTTCCTCCCCACCCCGTCCCCAAGTTCCACTGTTGGAAAAGGAGCAGACGTACATAAAACAAGGCTTCCTATTGGGCAGGATGTTTACATGGTCCTAAAGTATTACCCCCCAAATTACTTTCTAACTTCAGAGGGTAAAATGCACTTTTCCATTGGAAATTAGCAGCCACCACTTTACATGGGTGGTGAAATTAGCACCAACAATAACGAGGCCAGTTGACCTCATATGCCCTCCAATGTGATGTAGTGAAAACATCACCAAATCCTTCACAGAAATATTACATCTGCTTCATGAATGCAGCCAGATACACAACATGCAGTAATCTGCCAGGTAATTGGCCTAGATCTTGAAAAGCCTAAAGCAACCTACGAGCCAAATGAAATGCTGGCGTCCTAAATAAGACGACACACCGGGGAAGAAATGGCCATAAAAGACATTCTCAGACCGCGGCAGAACTTTCTTAGGTGTAATAATGGCATTATGGGCATGTGGAGAGTGTGTTTTCAGAAGGTGCATGTGCATCCTGTCTGCAACTTGTTCTGAGAAAGATCAGGGCTGGGGAAGTAAAAGTAAAGAAAAAGGGGAAAAGCTAAGCCAACTGAGCACATCAGCGGATGTCAATGACACGTTGACCATTTGTTGTAGGCTATAAACCAGGCACCGACTTGAGAGGAAGAATCGGGGTGGGAGGCGGGATCGGTAGAACAAATGTAGAAATATACTGAAAACTGGTGAGTCTAGGGGAGGATGTATCAATAGTCATTATATTGTTCTGTCAAGTGATATGTGGATATAAAGTGTCCAAAATTAAAACTCAGCTGGGGGAAAAGAGACAGATACTGCAAGAATGAAGCATTCCCATGACAAACGCTTTGGCAGGAGGTGATGGTCTGGGGACTCTGGGGTCAGAAGGCCTGGGGCCCAGGGTCTGCTCTAGCAGCACCGAGCATGTCCTCTTAGGGAGCATATGTGAACTCTCAAAATCTCAGATTCCTTATGTTTAGTTGTTGAAATACTATGAGTGCCTTCCTCTGGCAGGTCCATCTTAAGGTCTCTTAACTGCAGCATGGTTGACATTTAGGGCTTGGTAGATTTTTGCAGAGGCTACCCTGCATGTTGGAGGATGTTTGCAGCATCCCTGATCTGTACCCACTGGATGCCGGTAGCACCTTTCACCCCCAAGTTGTGACAAACAAAATTGTTTCCAGACATCTCCAGATGTGTTCTGGGAGTGAAAGTTGGCCCCAGGTGAAAAGCGGTGGCCTAGAGAAAACACATAGAACAGTTTCCTAATAATTTACTAATGGCTCAAAAATATTAATAGGGTCTCACTCAGTTGCTCATTTCCTATCTCTAAATAAAATACAAAATAGGGTTGGGAATATGACTCAGTGGTTGAGTGCCCCTGAGTTCAATCCCCAGTACACCGCCAAAAAAAAGAAAACTTGAATAAAATTACTTTCAGGCTGTCTATATAAGGTGTCTGTGAAACATAAACGAATCTTCTCTTTTGACCTGCATCCCATCCTCGAGGTATCTCATTATGTGTGTTCAGTGTTCTGAAGTCCAACATCTAAAACACTTGTGTCCCGTGCACTTCAGATATGGGTCCTCAGCTTGCAGATACCTGGCCAATGGTAGGAATTAGGGATGAAGTAGTTCTTCTGCCCTGTGTCTGACTTTCAGACACCCCCAAGAGCTGCCCCAGCCCTTCAAGGCCACCGCCATCTTCAGGGTTGAGGATCTTCTGTCTTCCAGGACTGAGGTCATTTCAGGCAACTGAACTGAGACTCAAACCAGACCGTACTGGGGAGTCCCCCAGCCCAAGTATCCCAGTTAATTGAGGTGTGACTAAAGCTCATCATGACTCCTTTTCAGGTTTTACAAGCCAGGTTTGTCTTCCAAGTCAAGCTCTTGGGGTGATGGACCGGTGAGGTCACCTGCTTCTCCTCTGACTCCCATGACCTGCTGGGGCTTGTGAGGACTTTACCATCTGGCCCTAGTTGCTTGGGTCTGACACAGGCAGGGCCCTGCCCTTGCATGGAGACTTTGTTTATACCTTCTGTTGAAGTGTCTAACTCTGTGGGGAAGGAAGGAAGAGGGAGCTGTCATTTAATGTGCATCTACTGTATACCCTAGAGAGCCACAGGCTAGTCTTCTCCCTCACCACTCAAACACATAATCCTGCAAGAGTAAGTTACTCCCATTCTACATGCAAGGAAACTGAGGCCCAGATAGAGCAAGTGGCCCCCTTAAGGTCACATTGGTAAAAAGTGTCAGAGCTAGACTTTATACCTAGGTGTAAGAGAAACGTAGATTCTCTTTAATTAGTCCAACTTCACCAGTTAACAGCACTAAAGCTTTTGGCGTACACTTGGTTCCTCCCAGCCTTAAAAAGGTGAGGGTCAGGAAGGTGAGGTTCTTGGGTCCTCACCACGCTTCTTCAATCCTCTAGGCTTTATATTCCTGAATGAAACATAAACTTAAGGCTTTTACTTAAAAATGTCAGTTGGAGCCAGGCACGGTGACACATGCCTATAATCCCAGCAACTTGGGAGGCTGAGACAGGAGGATCTTGAGTTCAAAGCCAGCCTCAGCAAAAAAAAGTGAGGCGCTAAGCAACTCAGTGAGACCCTGTCTCTAAATAAAATACAAAATAGGGCTGGGGGTGTGGCTCAGTGGTTGAGTGCCCCTGAATTCAATCCCAGGTACCCTCCCCACCAAAAATTGTCTGTCAGGCAACCCTCCTGAACCGCTCACTCCTAAACTAAGAAAATGTCAGGTAAGACATTTTGTTTTAAAAGGAACATAATAAGGACAGAGAGGATTGCAGAAGAAAGAGCAGCAATAAGATTTGGAGGCTGCAGAGTAGATGAGCAGGCGGCAGCCTCCTGGGGAGACAGAGAGAAGAGAAAATGGGCCCGTCGTGAGGAAGACTGACTGCGACAGTCCACACAGGGCATTTGCCAAAGCCTGGGATGTTGGCAACCGCCGTCTCTGGAGAGGCCCAAGCTGAGGAGGGTCTCTGAGAACATTGGGTGAAAGTTGTTTCTGAGACCCACCATCAGATCCCTCCCCAAATTGGTATAGCAGGCAACTACCTGGCAAAAGACCACAGGTTTATTTTTTTGGAGAGAGGAGAGCAGTCTAGAGACCGGAGGATGCCAGGCAAGTTCAACGTCACAGTGTGCCCCACTAAAGATGGTGAGTCCATGAACATGGGTATGCTGGGTTTGGAGACCTCAGCCCTCCTATTTCCCTTGGTGCTCTTCAGGGTGGCAGGCCATGGCCTTCTCGAAGAGGATGGGAATTGTGGCCAGAAAAGACATGTGAAGAGAAACGATGTAACGACGGTGACATGGAGGACTCCTAGGGGAAAGCAGCCAACCAGATCATGTACCGTGCAGCTCATGGCGCCCAAGGCCTCTCCAGACGGGCTCTCGAGCGCTCTTTCCTAAGCATGGGCAAACACGAGGGACTCCAGATGTTCCATAACAGGAAAAATGGAGACTGGCCACATGGGAAAGGGGCCGCCTCAGAGGAAGCAGGGGTCTACATGAGAAGGAAACCCCAGAACAGGGCGCTCCATTCTGCACCACGAACCTGCGGAGACTAACACGAGGCTTTGGAAATTACAATATGATCACAGAAATGAAAACTCCGCAGGAAGACTGGATAATAAAACTGAGGAAGCCTTGTAAGAAGTAGAACAAAAATACAGTGAAATTGGGAATAAGAGGGAAATAAGGGTGCAGGAAGGAGAGCTGAAAACAGAACAGAGGAAGAAGTATCCATGAAATGAAATTCAGAACATTTCCCCAGAACTGAAGTGGGAGGACTTTTAGACTGAAAGGGTTCACTGGGTTCCCAGCACAATGGTTCCCAGCACACCTGGACACATCATTAGGGAACTTCAAACCTTGGAAATATCACAAGGCTGCAAAGGCTCCCAGAGATAAAAGGTAGATCATGAAATAATGACCAGGACTCAGAATAGCTCCAGATGTCTCACCTACGGCGCTGGGAACTCAAAAGGCATTGAGCAATGCCTTTAAGATATTAAGGAAAATCAGTTTCGACCTAGAATTCTATATCCAGTACAACTAACTTTAAGTGAAGGGTAGAATAAAGATATTTTGAGATAGGCAAGATTTCAAAGAATTTGTTTCCTTCGTGTTTCTTTTCTCAGGGAGCTAGCAGAAGTGGTATTATTCCAAAATAAGGAGTCAACCAGAAGAGGGAGACCTGAGATACAGGGAAGATGGGGGAGGCAAGGAGGATGCCCAGAGTCAGGTGAGGGGACCTCAGGGCGCACACTGATGCAGGAGCGGAAGCTGGCGGGGTGTGTGCTGTTCTGCGCCTCCAGTGAGAGTTTAGATAACTGGCAGGATGAGAGGTTAAATTAGTGTAAGTTTGTTGGAACTAAGCAAACAGGAAAATGACTGTTATTAACTCGAGATAGGGGACAATAAAAAAAATGTGCTTGAAAGGAAAAGTGGCTCCGTCCCAAGCAAGATGTTTGCTGAATGAAAATAATGCAAATGCTGAAGATTGCTTCCCCCAAATACGCTGTGTCAATTAAGAGGATGGGAAGGTAGGAGAGGGGCATGTGTATGGTGTAGGGGCTGGGAAGCGAGCAGAGCAAATCCCTAACTTCAGAGGGAGAAATGAATAAATAATGCCTAACTGTAAAGACCAAGAAGCAGCAATTTATGCATAATATCTATTAGAGACATAGAAGTAGATACCCAAGGGATTGGCCGAGGGCTGGGGAGGAAGCTCAGTGGTAGGACACTTGTCTAGTATGCATGAGGCCCTTAGCACTAGAGAAAAAGAGCACAAGAGAGAAGGAAGGGAGGGAGGGAGGGAGGGAGGAAGGAAGGAAGGAAGGAAGGAAGGAAGGAAGGAAAGAAGGAAGGAAGGAAAGAAGGAACTGAATCCATTGAAAATGATTCCCTTTGGGGGTGTTAGGGAAATAGGGTTGTTGAACATCTCTATTATAGCAAACCTTGTACTATGTTAGATTAATAAACTGTGTTCACATATAACTAATAAAAACTAGACAGTAAAAGCTGGCTGTCTTTAGGATCTTGTTTGAAGATAAACTTCTTTTTATGGAGTGTGGGGAAGAGAAGGCAGACCCGGGAGGCTGATCAGACCTGGGAATCTGATCATGTGTGTTTCTCTTGTCAAAATTCTTCAAGCTGTACACATACAGTTTGTTTACTTTTATGAATGTATTTTTTTATTTCCACAAAAATGTACTTAAAATATATTCCATTTCAGCAGCGTTGGGTACAAATTGTACACTTCCCAGTAATATTCTACAAAATAAAAATCAAGTCCCCTGGCATGCCAGTTGGTGGGGATTTGTTCTTCTTTGGTTTCCCTTCTAGGGTTTCTGAACATAGCCCGGTGATGCTAGCTTAGTCTATAGGTCAGCCGCAGAGGGACTGGTCCCCGTGGCCAGCTTCTGCCTGTCTGGATCAGGTCTTGCCATTCTGAATGGACTCTTGCAGGCTGCTGTCACGGTCTCCTTACCAGCCCCCAGCGTAGACCCAGCAACATCAGCGCTGCCTAATACCAAGGGAGGGGCTGGCAGGACGGAGCTCATAGAACAGGCCCTGCCCATGACCTGTCCACACCTATCCCCCATCTTCTTTCCACTTGACACTCCTCCGACAGGCTCTTCACCACATCTTACTGTCAATCGGCGGGTAACAAACAGCCTGAGCCACAGTTTTCACACTGTAGTTTTAAAGTGCCCATTTGGGGAATACGCTCAGGGCAGCACCTCTAGCTCTGTATCCTCCCAGGTCCTTCTCTGAAACTCCCATGTCCAGCGAGAAGAATTAGAAGGCACAAAGTGAAAACTTCCATCAAAAACAAAACCCCTCTGGGGCTGGGGTTGTGGCCCAGTGGTACAGTGCTTTGCCTCTCATGTGTGAGGTACTGGGTTCAATCCTCAGCACCACATAAAGATAGAAAAACAAGATACCTTCTACAACTAAAAAATATATATATATTTAAAAACAAAACACCTCTGTACCTGGAGTCCCTGTACCATGTTCAAGACAAGGATGTAAGGCCCTCCCCACTCCTACCTGTTTCTTCTGGTAAATCCCAGTCTCCACCATCACCATTGTCTTGAAATGAAAGGCTGTGGCAGATGCATTTTTTTGTTATTATGGAGAACGGTTTCTCTTTTTCCAAACTTCCCAATGTTACGTTTTAACTTTTCACATGCATGACCCAAAGGCCCACTAGACTATTTTCACTAAATCCAAAGAGCAGAAGAAGCCCCTCATGACTGTTACTTTTGCTTCCAGACACTGAAAATTGCCAGCAATTTCCAAATAAGCTTCTCTGTTCTCAGAAACTCCAGGTCTCAGTAGTTGATCTCCCTACAGGTGAATGGCCAGTGTTCAGATGCTGCTAAGTGAAAAGGGGAGACAGTGGAATTGATTATCCAGTGTAAGTAAGGGCTCACAGGGGAGAAAGCTACATCTCTGGCTTTCCTACCTACAATAGCCATCCTGTTCTGGACACCAGGGCTGAATGTAAGGTAGGGACCCGATAAGTCTCATATCTGGCCATGTTTCCCTCTCCCCAGCACCAGTCAGGAAGCTCAGAGCCAGGTTTGTGGTGCCTCTTGTCAGGAAGCAAGTCCTAACCTCATACTTACTCACAAGCTGACTTTCCTTGCCCTTATTCTCCCCCTTTGTCTCATTTTCTGACTTTTATTTTATGTATTTTACTTTGTTGTGTTCATTTTTATAAGCCATAAAATCCCTTTTAAAGATAAATAGTGTTTTTAAAATGGAATAAAATTACAATATGATAGAACTGTAGATAAACAGCAGAAGGCAACTTGGGAAAAGGATAATTATATTAGGGTGGTAGGATATGGGTAATATTTATTTTCCTTTTCATATGTACATTAATATTAGAAAGGAATAAGAATCATTTCTAGTGTTTTTTTGTGATTAAAACATATTTATATTAGAAATGTAGGAAAGATAGAAAAATAAGAAGGTGAAAATTAATACCATTTATCATCCAACTCTAGAAGATTCAGTATGGTATATTTCTTTCGGCTCTTTCTAAAGATACATATGTGTATATTTGTAAACTATGTACGTTTTCTGAGTTTAAATTATTTCTATTTCTTTGTAAACTAATTTTCGTGTAACAAACAATAGGTTTCAGACATTTCCCCTTCTACGTAGTGTTTTGCACATATTCTTTCCTTTTCGTTTTTTGAGGTACTGAGGATCGAACCCAGCTCCTTGTGCATACTAGGCAAGTGCTTTATAATTGCTGATCCCCAGCCCTGCACCAACAGTTTAAATTGTATGAGTTGTATCTTTATTCAACAAATAATACCCGTGTACCATATTTCTTTAGGAAATCCCCCTTTGTTGGACATTTAGGTTATTCCCTTTTAGTGCTTACTTTCTGAGTTTGTTTAGAAGGGCAAAAAGCCAACTTTGCTAAAATGTATTTCTTTTTCTGAAATTCTTTTGGTTTTTCATTACAGTGGTCTCTGGCTCATCATCCAGCTCGAAGTATGACCCCGAGATCCTGAAAGCCGAGATTGCCACTGCAAAATCCCGGGTAGGGCCTCTTCTGCCATGCTGCAGGTCACCAAAGCCTGGGACCACTAGACCAGAGTAGATGCTTCATCCAGGCCAGGGCAGCAGTGCTGACTGGCCAGGCCCCAGATAATAACAACAGAGCAGGGGTTGTGGTATGGATGATGGTCATAACAGCTACCATCTCACAACAGTCGCCATACACCCGACCTAGTGCTGACCAGTTCATCGCAAGTCCTCTCTGGTCCTCGCAGCAGCCCCATGCAGTAGCCAGTGTCATGTACATCTTAAAGATGAACAACAAGGCTGACGGGAGCTGAGAAACTGGCCCTGGGGCCCAAGAGACTCAGGTCTTAGACCAAAGTTCTTATTATTCCCTACTCTCTTCCTAGCTGTTGCATGTTCTCTCTTATTTAATTCATGACCACCTTAGCTCCATGTTGCCAGGCCTTCAGGTAATTTTGGAAAGGAACTGTGTATCCAGGCTTCTTCTAGCAAATACCTCACTATTTGATTATTAGCAACCCATTTGCAAAGTTTAATTCCTGTGCAGGCAGTCAGCCCTCCTATTGGCTGGGCCTGGCTCTGGGGCGTGTCTCGCCTCTGATGTTCCTCTGTTGCCTCTCACCTCCACTGTCTGCTACCTCACACACAACCCGGGGAAGTGCCATCCTCATCCATCAGAGCAGGAAAGAGAGCCTCAGAATGGCCCAGTAGCTTGAGAGAGATCTCACTGCTAACAACTGGGGAGACCCAGCTCTCTCTGAGGTCAGGTGGCCAGCTCCTGACTACTTCCTGTCTCCCTGGAGCAAGGACTGGCTGGGCAGGACCTAAGGAAACTGGCTGGGATGTTTGACTGAATGGGCAGCTGCAGAGACAAGACCCACATTGGTGAGGGAAGGGTGTTGTGATCTGTATGGCCCGAGGGGTGTGGCCCAAGTCATTGTGCAGGAGCAGCAAGGTGCTGTGGGTTCCCCTTCTAGACCTGCAGCTCTCTGTCAGCTTCTGATCCAGTCCTTGTGTGGTCTTCTGTCATCCAGGTCAACAAGCTGAAGAGAGAGATGGTTCACCTGCAGCACGAGCTACAGTTTAAAGAGCGAGGTTTTCAGACCCTGAAGAAGTAAGTCCAGCCAGCGGTGCAGAGCATGGGGTGGCCCCCCCTCCTCAGCTGCCTTCACCTCCTCTGTCTCTCTCCTTTAGATCCCTTCCTCACCTCTCAAAATGAGCTCTTTAACTATTCTGTTCAAGTTCTTTTCCAATGGCATTGACCGACAATATGGACCCCAGGTAGGAAAGGAGAATCGCTTTAGATCATAGGACTCTCATCATCCTCAGAACTCCTGGAGCCACAAAAGTCTGTTCCGTTCAGCTAAGTCTTACTATCCAGGCTCCGAAGCCAGCGTTGCTGAGCACTCCGGTGCACACGCCTCAGCTTCTCTGGCAGACCACTAGAGTCTCATGCACACGAACACACAACCCCTTTAATTCCGTGACCCTTAACCTGAGCCACAACTTCACCTAGTGCCCCACTGAAGGAACGGGGACGTCTTCCAGAAATAGACAAATTACTAGAGAAGTTACACCATGCCACGTGCATGGCCCTTCACGGGGGCCTTACGGAGTTCCCAGGATCACTTGACCAGATGTCATATTTGCTTTTAGAAGCTGCCAGGCAGCAAAGTAAGATGGAGATGTTTTGGCTCTTACGGGCAGTGTGTTCACTGTCACGACGGTGATTGTGCCAGCTAAGCTTTGTCAAGCAGTTACTCTGTGCCAGAGATGCCTTCAGTGTTCCTGCGTGGGTAAACTCCTTCCCTCCTCACAGCAACTCTGTGAGAAAATTTTCTATTAGTTAACCCCCTATATACACGAGGAAACTGAGTCACATAGCAAGTGCACAGTAAATGCTAGCTGTTATGTTAACCACAACATGTGACCAGGACCTGGTGGTTGAACTGTGCTCAGTGTATCTGATGGGCTCACCACAAAGGGGCTCCTCACTGATGCACCTGGCATGACACCAGATCTCTACCTTCTAAGAGACCTGTCACTCAGAGTCCCAGGAAGGCCACACCATCTACGGACAGCTCTTTCTCTAGTCTTTTGCTTTTGGTCTCTCCCAGACTGAACCTTTTCCTCATCTCGTGAGTTCTCAAATCCACAGTCACAATTCTTTTGCCACCACCCCAGCCTTTGGATGTCCTCTAAAAGTCCTATTCCATGAACTGTGAACCTTAGTGGGGGGTTTGGTTATTTCACATTCATATCCTCCCATTGCACAAGCCCCCACCACCTGGAAGGCCACCTCGAATCCAGTACAACACATGTGGTAAAAGCTGTGACCTTGTCCAAAGTATATCCTGTTAAGATAAATTGGGTATGTTTTTTGTTTGACAAATTGTTACACATTTTAGCTTTTCCGTTTGTTTATGGGTGTTATTTATGTATATATTTATTTGTATACATACATGTGCCAATCATATCTCTCAAACCAGATTCTAAACTCATTAAGTCCAAAGACTCTGTTTTATGCTTCTTGGGAATCTTCAACAGCACCAAGGACAATCCGGAGCAATAGTGTGAGCTTTGAAAAAATTGCTATTTTGGGCCTAATGAGCAGTCGTCACTGTCCTCCACTTTCCGGCCGAGCAGCTTCTGGGCACATAGTTTAAGGGCCACTCGTTCCCACATCATCTAACAGAGCGTGCCCTCCCCTCCCTGCTTCTGCAGTCCTCAAGAGCTTCTGGCTAGAGCACCTCCCATTATTCTCCTAGCCCCTGCAAACCTGTTTTACCACTTTGTCTGTCGCCCTGGAGCAGCACTGAAAATTCTTGTTGTTTGGTAAGCTGACACTGAAGGCCCAAAGGCAAGCCGCCTCCTACCCCTCCTTGTGTCTGATATCTGGCCCAGATAAGACTCCTTTGCTGCCCTTGCTCCTGCAGGCAGTGGGGAAGGAGGGGTCTTCTTTCTTGTGCATCTTGGCTGAGGGCTGGGAATGCAGCCTCAGGAGGCAGATGGCCAGGGTTCAAATCCCAGGGAAAAGCGACTTAACCCTTCTGAGCTTTTACGTCTATCAGAAAGAGTTGAGGTTATAGAGATTGAATTAGAAAAGTCCCTACCCAGGGCATGAGAGAACCTGGCATGTAGGAAGAGTTTGGTGAGAGGGAGCGGGGTGCCGACCTCTGGCTAGTTGTCCTCTTGGACTTGGGTAGACTTTGCATCTGCCCTGAGCTCGACTCTGGGCTGAGGAGCCCCTTTCACTCTGGCCATCTGGTCTTATTCTTCTTACCTCTTACGAACATTTTTGATACTGCCCTTTTTTAGATGGAGGTACAGGGTTGGAAATATGCCCAGGGCCACCCATCCAGCAAGCATCGAGCTGGGACCAGAACCCAGGACTACTGGATTTTGTTTTTCTTCTGGTGCTAGGGAAATGCTAAGCACTCCATGTCCAGGGCTATTAGATTATTATAACTATTTGAGTGTGTGTGTGTGTGTGTGTGTGTGTGTGTTGATACTGTATGGACTGTTGGGTTTTAAAGCTTGTGTCTTGATGCCTCCCTTGGTGCGTTATCCCTGAGAGCCCCCTCCCCATGCCTAGGAAACATAAGTCTTCCATCTCCCTTTGAGTGTTTTAGGGTCCAATGGGGACCTCCCCACTGGGTCCTGCCCACTCTCAGCTGAGCATGGAGGAAGGTAGATCTCATCCCTCAGGAGTGTCCTAGGAGTTTCCCTCTGGTCACTTTGACCAGATGTCATTTTCACTCCTAGAGGCTGACGTGCAGCCCAACAGGACACAGCTGTTTCGTTTCCTAAGCGTGGTTGTGTTGGATTCATGATGGCAGTGGTACCAGCTAAGATGTGTTCGGCAGTTACCATCCCCTACGAATCCATTTGTTTGACTCAGTGTCGATGACCCCATCTTTAAAAATAAAGGAGAAAGGTTGGAAAGGATTGAAGGAAACCTCTTAGAGGAACCTGAAAAGGAAAAAGTCTGAACACAGGCTTTGGGATTCAGCTCCCCTGCTCCCGTGATCCCCTGCAAATAGGAAGGGGTTGGGACTTGGCGATTGGCTGGGGTTGGGGGTGGAGCAGGATCTTCCTGCACAGTCACAGAAACTGTCGGTGCCCAGGTAAGAGCTGTCTGGACAAGGCCGGGAATGGTCCTCTGCCATTAGTCTTTGCCCAGCTTCTGTGTGGCTACTGGGTGTGTGAATCTCAGAGAGCCTGAAAGGAAGGACAGCTGCACTTTGGAAATCCTAAAACACATGCGCACCCCCCACCCCAAACACACACACACACACACAACTTTTCTTTGCCTTTATGGGGGAAAAAAAAGATTCATTCACTGCGTACATAATGGTGACCCTTTGTTCTCCCCCACCGGCTCCCACCCCAGCTCCATCCCGAGAGTGTTCCCTCTCAGAGCTACTTTCTGGAGCCAAATTCCAGAGTCTGGTTGCTAAGGCCCTTGAAGGAATCAGGTAGAGGCTCTGTGCAGCCCAGCAGGCACACCACTTCTGCCCGGTCCTGTGGGGGATTCCGAGCCGTTCTCCCCCTGTTGGCAGAGGACAGCTGGGCACAGCCCCCTCCAGACCCTGGCGCTTGGACATGCTGAAGCAAATAGCTGTCCCTGCACCCGCCACTTGCCTCTCTGGCCAGTCGGAGGCAGGACCACCTCCCACCCCAGACCACTTGTTCCCCACTTATATGCTCCGCAGAGCATCGTGGGCAGGATTCTGCCGTGGAAATCGTTCCTACACCAGTTTTTCAGACTGAATCTGAGATGGATCTCAGTGGACCTGGCAGTCCTGCCCAGGCCCCAGTCCTCGAAAGGAATCCACAGGCTATTTTTAGTGGGGAGACATAAACGAGGCTTTGTATTCTCTCCACGGAGGAGGCTGAAGTAACCGCAGGGGAGGCTGTGTGGAGACCACGTTCCCTGCCTCCCTCTCTCCTCCTCCACCCCAGGCCCAGACGATGAGGCCTCGAGACAGGGTGAAAACCAACCTGCTCAGAGCAGTGATTCCCCATTCCAGCTATTTTTAGCCCAGAACAATTTGGCCTCTAGCAGGAAAACAGAGAGGAATGCCTAGGAGGCTTTCTCATCCCGAAATAATGGGCTTGTGGTGTCCCTCAGACTGTAAGACTTCCTCTTCTCCGCCCTCTACTGAAACTGCAGCCCCAGCCTTTGTTGAAAGTGTGAAGCAGTTAAAAGCACTCTCAGATCTGCTCTCAGATCCTTCTCCCGCCGGCCCCCCAGCCCTCTTCTCCAGAAGCCCGGACTCCCCCAACCACCACCAACAACAACCATCTGGTTTGGTCTGACCTTTGGAAAACTGTGTGAGGACCTTTAGATTGGAGCCTGGTGGTAGAATACCTGCATGGCACACGTGAGGCCCTGAGATCCATTTCAGCCTTGTAAAAAAATATAGCAAACAAACAACAATAAAAAAAAAATTAGCTTAGCTCTAGCTTTATTTTACTTTTTTCCCTTTCTTCTCTTAGACACCTTTTGCCCCCATGCAAACCAATTTGCATCTAGGTCCTGGATAAGCCAGTGAGATCTCTGGGCTCGAGGTGTTTGAACCCCTTTCATTTGTGCAGCACTTCCTAGCTCACCAAAGGATTTGCCACCCTTCACCCCATTTGACATCCCTAACAACTCCTTGTGCACGGGCCAGGCAGATGACGTGCTCTAGACATTTTCAGAGGAGGAAACGGAGACCCTGTGTGATTGGGAGCCGTATCCAAGGTTACTCCACTGGGAGTTTTGATCCTGTGATTCAACACACATATAATTATCAAGGACGGTGCTTCTTGAACAGGGGTGATTTTGGCTCCCTCCCCCAGGAGACTGTAGGCAATGTATGGAGACATGCACGTGGAAGCATAGGGAGGCCGTAAACAGAGGAGGGGTTGGTGGTCAAGTTTATCAAGTGGGTGGAGATCAAGATGCCCAGATTGAAACCATCCTGTGCCAGAGGATGAAACTAATCAAACACGCTCAGCTCTGTTCCCAAGCCGTGCAGAGTCAAGACAGGAATGCTCCTGTAGGAAATGATCATCAAGGACAGAAAGAGTGCAGTGTCACCGCTCTGAGCCTGGTATCCGGGCCTCCGCCTTCCCTGCCTAGAGGACCAGGGAGGGGATCCAGAGGCTCCCTGTGAGGGCCGATGCTTAGGACTCTTGGTTTCAAAAGCAGCTTATTTCTGCAGCCACCTTCTGTGGGACATTTGTGATTTAGCAGGGACCTTCCGCGCCACACCCCACAAGTGGGACCTGAAGAGGAAGGGCATGCAGGACAGAGAGGAGACTGCTTGGGGAATTGAAGTACTGGCCTGCACTTCCCCTGGGGAAACCTTGTCCCTCCTAGGTGTGACCTTTTCCATCACCTCTCTTCTAGAATCGATAAGAAAATGTCTGATGCCCAGGGCAGCTACAAACTGGATGAAGCTCAGGCTGTCTTGAGAGAAACCAAAGCCATCAAGAAGGCCATCACCTGTGGGGAAAAGGAAAAGCAAGATCTCCTTAAGGTACGTTCATTCCCAGTCACATGGTCCCAGTTCAATCCTCCTCGTACCCCTGCATGCACATTCTGCCCACATTCCCTCGGGACCACTGCCCTCTTTTTACTCCTTGCCAAAAATCCAGACTGCGAAATGCTCTCTGAAACTTTTGACCGCCAACATGATGCCCCCATGGGAAATTCCACACCTGACCTGTGGTGGAACACAGGTGCACCGAAGGTCTCCTATGAGGTCACCTCCTGGCTGTGCACATAAGCCATGTGGACAACAGTTTCCTGTTTAGACTTGGGTCCCTTCCTGAGATAGCTCATGGTGTGTATGCAGATATTCCAGCATCTGTAAAGATCCAAGTCTGAAACAATTCCTGTCTCAGGCATTTCAGACAAGAGCAACTTGACCTTGAGTAGTCTTCTTGGAGTTTGGTCCCATTTTATAGAGGAAAGATTGGAGGCTTCAGGGTACTAGATGGCTGACCTGGGGCCAAAATTGTTCAGTGGCAAAGCTGAGGTGAACACTGTCAGGCATACCCCAAAGGCCATATCCTTGCCCCTAGCTCTGGCCACTGGGTTTATCGTTCAATGAAGCAAATGGAAGGAGATGGTTTCAGCATCGATAACCTCAACATCAGGATGTAGTATCTCTGTAATCATTTTGTGTATGTGTGTTCTCACTGTGTGCTGGGAACTGAACACAGGAGAAGAGTTATTCTCTACCATGCCAGGCAGCTGTGCCAAGGACTTTGCATGCATTGGTGCAATGGGCCTGACCTGTCTTCTATATCAACTCTGCTTTTATTTGATTCTACAGATAAGGACTGCAGGACTCAGTACAACGGATAGAGCCAGGCTTCAAACCCCTGAGCACCTGACTCAAAAGCGTATTTGCTTAACCCCTGGGCATACCACCTCCCCACACAGGAACCACCCTGACCTCAGAGATCTCTATCATGGTTGCCATTGGCAGATTAAAAGTCCAAGACCCAGAGCCGCTGGCTGCAAGTTGCTCAGTAAAGGAAGCTTTATGCTCTAAGACAGAGTATTTGCACAACTCCTGCCCGAGACAGCAGCCCAGTGTAAACATTCAGACAGGGTGCTCCTGGACAGCAAGGAGCATTCCTGTTGTGATTAGCAGTTAAGAACACAGAGCAACAAAGTCAAGTCCAAATCCTGGCTTTGACCATTGCCAGCTTCTCCTTGATAAAAGGGGGAATAATCACAAGTCATTCCTGAAAGAGCTATTGTCAGGATTCAGTGAGCTCTTAGTGAAACTGACCGTTGCTGAGTATTGGCTATACCACATTTCACACTGTCGTCAGTTTAATCAATGTGACTGCCCTGTGAGGTAGCATTGGTCATTCCCATCTTACAGGAAAGGAAGTTGAGGCACAGACAAGTTAATCATCCAGCCTAGATGGCACAGCTAGGATGATACAGCAGGGATTGTGCCCTGGGCTGAGCCCACATGCACCCTGCTGTCTCCATGTAAAAGGTCCTGTAAGTGCCCACTCACTCGGAGCCCTCTGCATGGCATCAGCGGGTGTCAGGGGTGAGCACAGATTCCTAGATTAGAGAAGATGCCAAGGAAAGCCCACAGTGCCTGGCAGACCTGGAAGATGCATGACTAACCTACCCACTGTCCCCCTCTGCCTGCAGAGCCTCACCATGCTCAAGGACGGCTTCTGCACCGACAGAGGGTCTCACTCCGACCTGTGGTCCAGCAGCAGCTCTCTGGAGAGCTCAGGTTTCCCACTGCCGAAACAGTACTTGGACGTGAGCTCCCAGACGGACATCTCGGGGAGTGTGAGTAGGCGGGTCCCACAGGAGGGCTTGCAGGCAGGTGCCCTCTGCTTGCTTTCACTGGCTGCCAACTCCACCCTGGGGAGCGCCTTTCTCACAGCTCCTGGCCCCAGAGCTCTGGCGGGTGGGGCAGGGAAGCACCAGCTCAGGACTCCTCCGCTCTGACATTTCCTGGCCAGGTGCTTATGCCTCTAGACCTGCATGGAAAACACTTTTAAAGGACAAAGTGTCTTCCTCTGGTTTCTGTCACACTGTGCGCAGCTCCATTCAGCTGGAAGGGAGAGGATATTTCCCTCCTGTTAGTCCCAAAGCTATGTGTGCCGCTTTCATACAGCTGTGTGGCTCCTAATTAAAGCACAGTCCCAGTGGGTCATGAGTAGTGAAGTGCTGTTCCGATGGGGGTCATGGGTCGCGCCAACCCATGTGAGCTGTAACTTTTGGAGAGTTTCACTAGAGCAGACGACATAGCCAGACTGCCTCCAGCTTCTGCACTAAAGACTACTCCTGTCAGATGTCAGAGGCATCCTCCGGCTTGGGAAGAGAAGCTGTATCATGCGTTGTCTGGGGAACCTTGTAGCTTCTTAATGGCCCTTGACAGAGGAGCACAGGGCATGGAGCTTTCCCTCCTTCCCCACACCATCTACATGTCCCTGTGCCTCCTAAATCCTAGGACCTTCTCCATGCGCAGTCAGGATTGAGTCCTGACTGCAGCCTGAGTTTTCCACTGCCCCCTTCCCAGCACCCCAGGATGGCTTTCTTATGGATTTCCTGTCTCTCTCTTTTCTCACCTGCTACCTCTCCTGCCTCCATTGGCTCTGAGCCATTTGGGGCTTCTAGACCCTCGGCCTCTCTTCTTCAAGGGATGGATGTCAGTTTGAGACTGTTTCCATGACCTGAAGGAAGAGAAGTATTTTTTGCTTAACTAGCTTCCCTGCCGTCCACAAGCCAGCCCAATAATCGAGGGCTGTTCTTTGCTCTGCCCACACAAGCTGTCAAGTCCTGCCCGAGCTCTCGAAACATAGCTCAGCAGCGGCCACAATAACTGCGTAACTCCCGACTCTGCTCTCGCCCTCTAGTTCGGCACCAGCGGCAACAATCAATTGGCAGAAAAGGTCAGACTGCGTCTTCGATATGAAGAGGCTAAGAGAAGGTAACTCCAGGCTGGTGCTAGGGCTTGGGGGGGGTTCCTACAGTCATAGGGTGGGGGTCTGCTCCGAGCCCAGCTTTTTGCATTCCCACCCTGTTTAACCCTCCCCCAAATTACGAAGGTAGGTAGTATAGACCTCTTATGTTAATCCTCTGGAATTTAGAGAGGCAATGCCTTGCTCAGGACACTGCGTAGAGTATGGAACTATGCTTTGAACCCAAAATCTGCTTAACCTCAAAGATGACTTATCTTTCTCCTTCTTGTGTTGGTTTCTGTAATCAAAGTTTTCTGATGATCCTGGAAGCAGTTTGGTTTGGAGGATCCACAGGTTTGTTTGGTCATTTTTGGCAATAGGCTAAGAGGACTACAGACACTATCCACTACAACATCTCCTGCATGACCGTGAGCTGGCTATGCTTTTCAACTGCGTTTCAACTGCATAAAGATGTGGCTTCATGGAATCCAAAGCGGCTGGGTTGCACTTCCACAAATAAAATAATAATCAAACCTGGCATTTTTAGAGCATCTGTTAATAGGCATAAACAGATTGCTTGTTGTACTAAAACTTCTTATTTGTTTATTTATTGTAGTACTGGAGATTGAACCCAGGGGCTCTTCTACCACCGAGCCATGTCCCCAAGCCATTTTTGTTTTTTATTTTGAGACAGTCTCACTAAGTTGCAGAGACTCGCCTTGAACTTGATCCTCTTGCCTGCATTTCCCAAGTCGCTGGGATTATAGGCATGTGCCACTGCACCCAGCAATATTAAAACATTTGTGCATCTATTATCTTATTTAATCTTAAAAGCAACCTCATACCATAGCTTCTATGTTATTATTTCCATTTTTAGAGGGGACAGAGTTTAGCGATATGTTTCATGGCTTTTCCAGGTTGTACAGTTGGAATTGGAACCCTAGACATTCTGGTTTCAAGTTCATGATCTTCCTATACACTAAGTCAGCCCTACTGGGAAAGAACCCCCTGAGCATCTGCTGATGAATGAATCCAGGCGTATTATAGCCATTCCTCCATGGACTAAGTTGCCTGGCCCATAAACTCTCTCAGCCAGGCTGGGTAGAGTGTGGTGATACCCAGTTCTGCTCTCCCAACCCTCCGTTAGCACCAGATTCTCTGCAGCTATGACGGAAATCTGATAGAAACCAGAGGAAGAAGCAAAAGGGGAATTTATTGTCTTATCTAACTCCAAAATCCTGGGGGAATTCAGGCTTAGCTGGATCCAGGGACTCAATTAACGTTACATAGATTCCGTCTCTATTTTCTCCACCTCATTGTCTTTGTTTTGGCTTCATTTCAAACAGGTTTTTCTCTCAAGGTGACAAGACGACCCTCAACAATTCTAAGCTTACATACAACCAGGGTAGCAACCCCAGTAGAAACGGGACCTACCTTTCCCAACAATTTTAATGAGTCTCAAAGGCTGGGCTGTAGCTCAGTGGCAAAAGTGCTTGTCTTGCCTGTTCAGGGCCCTGGGTTGAGTCCCCAGACCCACAAAATAACTGAGATTCACTGACAGTTTTGGATGAACCAATCACTGATGCAGGGCTGGTAGGGAGGGTGGGAGCAGGAGGATTAGAATTCTATGAAGGTCCATGCATGGGTCATATGCTCATGCTGGAAGGAGGCTGAGGTCAGCTTTGGGGGAACCAAGCAACTTAAAAGTATGGGAGGAGAGGTTTTCCATAGGCACACCCTGGTGTTGTTAGCAAAAAAAGGAAGAATTGGATAATGGTCAGGTGGAGGGAAGCAGATGCCTTTGAACTGTTTCCCCTTCCCACTAGGGATTCAGCAAAACAGCAGAACGTGTGTGTTTGGACAGTCACTTGTCCCCTCTGAAGGGGGCCACTCTGAACCTTGGATCTATTCCAGCTTACAGTAATGCCTGTCCTACATAACCAGTCCTGGAGAGACTAAAGCACTGAAGTGTTCCCTCTGGGGTCAAGCCATTAAAATTATCACAGAGCTTCCTGGCTCATCTGAGTTTACCCAGCTTCTTGCCTCGGCCTCCGCCTCCACCCAAAGCTAGATTTGGTGTAAAGGACAGAAGAGGTTGCCGAGTAGGAAAGCAGGGGCTGCAGGATTTGTGAAGGAAGGGAGGTAGCCATAGTGAATGGAATGTCTGATGATCGTCACACGTCAGGTTTTGTCAAGTGTGTTTCGAAGTTGAGACGCTGACAGTTTCCATCAGATTTTCCAGAGGATGAGTTACCCTGCTTTTAAGCAGCAATGGCATAGGGATAGCACCCTAGAAAATACACCCAGGAAAGCGTCCGTCACTCCTCAGTGTCCTGCTTAGAGTCTGGCTGTCAGACCTTTTGATGCCATCCTCAGAGCTGCTCAGAGTCCTGGAAATAGCAGCTATGAAGTTGCCCCATAGCTAACCTTCATGGATTGCTGTATATATCAATGTGAAACCGAATGGTAAACCGTAAGGATTCTTACTGGGAAACTTGACTGGGGAAGGAACAAACCTCGATGTGTTTTTCTGTATGGAGTTTTTGCTACTCATGACAAGGAGTCTTGTCTCCAACGATGTTTTGGTACGATGAGTTCAACCACACTGACCAAAGATCAGACTGAGCTGCAGGCCATAGGTCTCAGCTCTCAACAAGTATTGGCCATGTTTGTGATTTGCAGTCTCAGGTGAGCCGTCAGGCATATGTCCAGTGAGGTTAACAACTCCTCTGTGTCTGCCCTGATGGTATGGGGTAAGGCCGAGATGTGAGGCCCAGACGTGATTTGAATAGGTCAAGTCTAAAGGATCATGGCATAATTACTTTCAGGTATTTCTAGCAGTACTCTTCATTACACTGGGAATCTTATTTTAGTGATAATAATTCCTCATGTCTACATAATACTTGACAATATCTAAAGAGATCTTTTTTATAACCCACCTTGTAGGTACCGTCATTATCCCCACCTTACAGACGAGGATCCTGAGTCTTAGAGAAGTTAAGATGCAAGGCTGCTGATTTCTTCCCTTAGCATTTATTAAGTGCCTTCAGTATACCAGGGACCAAATGTGACACCAAAATGTTTTTTTGTTTGTTTGTTTTTTTGTGGGTGATGCTGAGGATTAAACCCAGGGCTTCCCACATACAAAGCATGTGCTCAACCACCAAGCTGCACCCCCGGCCCCACCTTCTTTCACAAAGACCAGAGGCAGGATTCCACTCAAACCATCTGAACCCCCAAATGCATGGCTTTTCAATAGCACCACCACCACTCTCTGGACTGAGAACACATGGTTAGTCACCAAGACCCCAGTTGTCCACAACTGTCATTGGCAGAGCGTGTACTGTGTGTCAGGCACCTTGCAGACATTACTGCTGATCCTCACAATCCAAAGGATGAGTGATTGTTTTTCTTATCTTCAGGTCTTGGAGAGTTTACCTAGTGTTACATAACTAATAAGTGGTCCAACCAGGTAATAACAAGAGTAGCAACAGAAACATTTATTGAGGGCTTACTGTGTGCCAAATACTGTGCTTTGAGGGTTTATGGGTTGTCATAAAATCTTGAACCACAACCTCATAAGGAAGGAGCTTTATTTATTCCCTTCAGAGAGGTGAACAATTGGCCCAGGGTCACACAGCTCATGGAAAGAGGTTATTGCCTGGTATTGGATCCAAGTCTCTCATGTAGCAGGCTTGGGGGCGTTGCCTAGCTCATGTCTGTACCCTAGAGACGACTTCATGGTTGGGACATGATAGGCACCCACGTGTGTGTGTTAGATAAAAAATGTGTTTCCTAGAAATTGATCAAAAGGAAGACTGTAACTGCCAAAGAGTGCTCTGAGGGTCTCCTGGCCCCTGGTTCCTTCTGTCTGTAGAAGCACAGTCTCCTTCCCTGTCCCCACAGTGCCTTTGTTCACACCAGTGGATCTCCCCTTCTCCACCCCCAGGATCGCCAACCTGAAGATCCAGCTGGCCAAGCTCAACAGTGAGGCCTGGCCCGGGGTGCTAGACTCAGAGAGGGACCGGCTGATCCTCATCAACGAGAAGGAGGAGCTGCTGAAGGAGATGCGCTTCATCAGCCCCCGGAAGTGGACCCAGGGGGAAGTGGAACAGTTGGAGATGGCTCGGAAGCGTCTGGAGAAGGACCTGCAGGCAGCCCGGGACACCCAGAGCAAGGCGCTGACAGAGAGGTGGGTCTGGGGCTGGGAAGTATGAACCAGGTGTGTCCCAGGGGCTTGGGTTAGGGAATGTGCCTGTCTGTCCTCTGGCCCAGCAGGGACCAGAGGTGAGGGGCACACCTCGGGCACCTGACTCCTCCATGAGCAGTGTCAGTTTAGGCGTCTTACAGCCTCCACGGTAGCTTATCAGGGAAGGGATTGCCACCCAGCGCACCAGCCACCTGGAGCTCAATCATGTTGCCCAAAGTTTCCTGGCTGGGCACCGCCTTTCAGAAGTGAATCTTCTGATGAAAGTGAGCCCCATAACTCAGAATCCTTGAGGACACTCGTTTTCCAACTTTGTGACAGATTCACATTTCGTATCGTGACCTAAAATACACAAGTTTGGCACAGTGGAGCACATGCTTTCTGTGTCCTCCGATGTCTTCTGTTGGACAATCAGCCCTCGGTATCCATGGCGTCCATATCTATAGATTCAGCCAACTGCAGATTGAAAGGGTGAAGAAAAAACAAATTTTTAAATTATATAACAAAAAATACAAACACACAGTGCAGTGTAACCGCTATTTGAGATTGCATTTACATCGTATTAGTTATTATAATAATCTAAAGATGATTTAAAGTATATAGGAAAATATGTATGTGTTTTATGCAAATACTACCCCATACACATAAGAAATTTGAACCGTGGACTTCAGTATCCAAGTGTGCATGCACATGTGTGTGTGTTGTATGTGAGTCTGCAACCGATCTCCCAGAATACCACGGGATGAATGTATTTAATGTATTTCCTTTCAAGCTTTATGCTGCTTATGGCCCACTAAATTGATTTCACCACATCCTAAGTGACTGCAGTTTGAAGCCCATTGGTGTGTCCAGGTTGTAAACTGTTATGCTTATAGGGGTCAACAGGTTGTGGAAGTGCCTGGTGGCAGTCCGCGTCAGACCGTAGTGCACAGAGCCCGCTGTCCACAGCATGTTCCGTCTCCCTGCTCCAGCAGGTGGAAGTATGGGCCCTGGGCTGCCCGAGGTTCCGTATTTTATTTATATTTATACACACACACACACACACAAATGCACATATTCATTTTTTTGTGGTGCTGGGGGAAGAACCTAGCAGATTTTTGGTAGCATATTTTATTGCAAATTTCCTGCCCTTATGAACTTAGAGTCAGAGTTAGTGATTTTTCTTTTTCTTTTTTTAATGACACATAATATTTGCACATGTTTATGGGGTACAATATGGTAATTAAGTATATGTATATATTGTATAATGACCCAGTCAGGAAAATTGACATTTCTGTGTACCCAAACATTTATCATTTCTGTCCTGGGAACCTTCAGACTTTCCTCATTATGTTGAAACACACACACAAAAACTGTTGCAGTTTGGTGTGCAACACTGGACCTGCTTCCCGCTATGTAACTTGGGGATGCATTGCCTGACCTCCCTCTGTCCTCAACCAACACTCTTCCCAGCCTCTTGGTCCCACGCCCACCCTGTACCTGTCATTCGCTCCTGGTTTCCACAGATCACCTTTCTGACTTCTACAAATAAGTGAGAACCTTCTTGTATCTGGCTTATTTCACTTACCATGTCCTCCACATCTGTCCATCTTTGCCCCAAATGACAGGATTTTGATCTTTTCTATGGCTGAATAATTTCATTGTGTTAGTGTATATATTTATATCTCATTTTCTTTATCCACTCATGGGGCGGTGGATGCCTTGGTTGATTACTTTTGCTATTGTGAATAGTGCTGCATTAAATATGGGAGTGCAGGTGTCTCTCTGATGTAAGGATGGACATCCTTTGGATGCATACCTACTAGTGGGATTGCTGGATCATACCACGGTGGCTCTGTTTTTAACAGCACTTCCGTACTGTCTTGCATAGTGATTGTATGAATGACATTATCGCCAGTGCTATTTCCTTTGTCTGCATCCTCACCAGTGTTGGATATTTGTTTTATTTTATCATGACCATTCTATCTGGGGTAAGATAATGTCTCATTGTAGTTTTAATTTGCATTTGCCTAATGGTTAGAAATGTCGAGTGATTTTTGTACATGTTGGCCATTTGTGTATGGGAGAAATTTCTGTTCAGATCATTTGAGGTGTTTTTGGTTGTTTGTTTGTTTTGTACTGGGGATTAAGTGTACAAGGGCACTTAACCACTGAGCCATATCCCCAGCCTTTTTTATTTTTTTTCCTTTAAGACGGGGTCTTGCTGAGTTGCTTAGGGCCTAAATTGCTGAGGCAGACTGAACTCGTGATCCTCCTGCCTCTGCGTCCCCAGCTGCTGGGATTACAGGCATAAGCCACCACGCCTGGCTCCTTGGCAGACTTTCTCTTGCAGTACATTAGTCAAAGTTTAAAATAAATCCTCAGATAAATTTGGAGCAACATAATTGACTTCAAGAAGAGCCTTTCTTTAGAAACTCAGAATTGCAATTATCATTTAGACTAGTAAAATATAATAAGTATTTTATAAGCTGAGATTAGCCAGAATACTAATCTAGTATAGTTTAATTTGCAATCATTATGAAGTATACCATATGACAAAGTTTTCATTTAATATACATTGTATAACCTAAGACAAATATAAAGCAATGCTTTAAACCTTAAACTGAAAGTTTGAGATTATCATCGCTGCGTTTTTGGTTTTTGAATGTCACGTGACTTATCTCCTGTGATCTCTGGTTCGGCCTTAGATGTGGATGCACCATGAACCCCTTGAAATTCCAAATGATAATTCACGTCAGGGGTGTGACCAAGGTCTCTTTTCTTGCTTCATTCTGAAGCCTGTTCTTTAGTGCTCTTCCATCTAACAGTGTACCCACTTGCTTATCCAGGACACCTGACTTCTGCAAGGTTTTTCTGCCATCTTCTGTCAGTAGATTCCTCCATACAAATGTTGGTTTTCACCTTTTCCGACACCTGTGCCTCCCCACTGTGCAAGTGGTGTCTCCTTGCTCCTCTGGCTCTGGGACTTTTCCCCTCTCTGGTCTGATAGCATCGTGTCCTGTGTCCGTAGAGACAGTTTTGTGAGCTCGTCCCATCTTGGAGTCTTGAGGGTAGTGTTCCCTCTCCTCCGAGGGGTTTCACTCAGAGACTTCTGAAACTAAAAGCCGAGGAACACGCCTGGATTCCGGTCCCCCGTGGGACGGGTGGTTTGCAGTGCTCCTCCCTCTCCTAGGGTGCCTTCACCATGTTCTTTTCCGTTGCTTCTTGTTTTGATAGCATCCCACTCGTGCAGCTTTGCTTTTCCTGCCTGTGCTTTTTGGGGTCTTATCCACACAGTCCTTGCCTGTACCAATGTCTTCAAGTCTTTCCTCAGTGTTTTCTTCTATAACTAGTGATTTTCTAGAGGGGGTGTGTTTGAGGTGATCAGCACATGAATCCCTTTTCCCAGTGGTTATCAGAGGAGGAAGCCCAGTTGTGTCCCCACAGAATCAGCGTGGGAGTCCTAGGTGTCTACATTTGCTCTCTCCGCATCATCAGGCGAGGGGCCCTTCAGGAGCAAGCAGCTTACAATAGCATCCTAGCAACTGAGTGAGCTCCAGTAGCAGGTGGCTCAGTGCCTGCTAGACCAAGTTGATGAGCCCCTCGTGGCTCAAAGGATCCCTGACGGGTCACTGGTGCCAATCTCTTCCCACCAAGAACATTATCAGGACTACCCAAAGAGATGTTCAAAGTGTATCCACTTCTTCTCCTTCATCCTCCACTAACAGGAATGGATGATTGGCCCTCACCTGTCACTGGGTAAGTGGAACACAGGAGAAAGTATCACATAGTGTGAAGGCAAGTGGCTGGACCAGAGGGTTAATTGAGGCTCTTCCCTGCTATCAAAAATTTTTATTTCCTGAAATTAGGACTGGAGATTGATTCTCTTTAAAACTCCTAAGATAGACTACAGGTAAAAGTGCCTTCTTGTGTTCTATGTTATTTAAAGCTCCCAGGCACCCTGAAAGCAATCCCCCCTTTTACAGATGAGGATCAGAGGCTTGTCCGACGTCACTGAGCAGCAAAACTGGCTTCAGAAGCTGGTTGCAGAGCCAATGCCCACTTTAGGCTATTATCCAGTCAGAAGGCCCCAGTTGTGGCCTTCACCCCATCTAGCCACAGTCCATGGCTGCTCTGGAGTAGAGGGTTCAAGTACCAGTCCAGGGAGGCCAGAGTCTCCACTCCTCCACCTGCTGAGCAGGCAACATGGCGGGTCCTGGAGAGCAGGGTCCTCCTGGGGAGATGTGATAATAGGGAAGCCAAAGAGCACAAGGTAGGGAGCCAGGTGTGTCCCAAGAGGAGTCTGGGAAGGGGACCCACAGGAATAGTGGGGACAGTGCTGATGTACCTGTAGCTCTTTGCTTTCAGTTCCTTGTTTATCTGGATTTGTCCTTGCTTGTTTCTCTTCTGTCCTGTGTGTGTGTGTGTGTGTCTGTCTGTCTGTCTTTTAGTGTGTTTTCTGTCTCCCTGTTCACACCCTCCTTCCAATGGATTTAATATGAACCTCACTTCATACAATGGCCTTTCCCATTCAAGGTGCCTCTGAGAACAGGAGTGAACACCCCCAGGTGCCTTTTGGCCACCCATGTCACCTGCCACACCCCATCACAAATCCATCTGAACCGCAGGCTTTCTCACACTCTTGGTGCCAGCCCCACCTCCCTCCTTCCTCACACGCCCCCTCCCCAGTCAGAGCCAGTGTGCAGTCATGCCAGGTGCTCTTTAGAGTGTGGGCTCTGCCCCTGCCCCAGGGACCACTTCTCCAGGCCTGAGATATGGCACAGGCTCTTGTGATTTTAACCAGCACCCCAGGTGCTAAGCTTCAGCATGTGGGGTTTCCAGTCCCACCTGCTGGATCTTCTGCCTGCTTCCACACTGGATGTGTTCCTGGCCTTCCAGCATGTGCCGGGCATCACACACAGGCCATCTGGCCTGTTAAGCCCAGGCTGCTGGAGGGAAGCCTTGGCACCTGCCCGTGGCTGCCCCCGCCATGCTCAGGAAGCCACTACAGGCCAACTTAGTTCCCTCAGCATCCTGTCCAGGCTCCAATGGGGACCTGCGTTTACTCCCGGAACAGCCTCTATGGCTCGTTCTGTTAGAATCTGTGAGCCCCACTTCCGCACCCCAGACCTCACACCCATTCTGGACTTTGCTCTTATGGTGAGTCAGGAGATGCCCTAGCGTTGTCCACCCCACTGAGAATTCTGAATTTCATCCAGTCTGGGCTCCATCTGCCCACCTGCTGCCCAGCTCTGCCAGGCAGGACTCTAGAAGAACAACACCAGGGGTTGAGCTTGCCCTTCCCCCTGCTCTGGCTATCTCTTTGGTCAGTTTACAGGTAGGTCTGCTTGCCCGTTAACAAGCCCACCCACCTCTCTCCACTCCTCAGTGGTGTCTGAAGACGTCTCTGGCCTTGGCTGCAGGCATGTGTTGGAGGCCCAGCACACTGGGGGAGACAGTGTGGCTTGGTTTTCAATGGAAATGAACCCCACTCCAGGCTCCAGGCTGGGTGAGCTGTGCTCTCGGTGCGCTCCCCAGTTTAGGGATCAGCAGGCCAGCACGATGGCAGGAAAGGAGGAGCAGCCAGCAGTGGCACACCTCTGCCCACAGGGTCCTCAGTGCAGCAAATGAAGTTTGCCTGTCTCACTTGGAGGGGGCAAGTGCCTTTCCCTAACCAGCTCCTGTCCATCTCTCATTATTGGCTGAGGTTTCTCTACTGGGGTGTCCACCTGCTGCAAGAAATAGCCCCCACATCTCTGGTGACTAACATGATAGGAATGTGTTTCTTGCTCATGTAATATCTCATTGGGCATCCCCAGTAAGCAGCGGCCATTCATGTGGTCATTCAGAACCTAGACCTCTTCCCCTCTGAGGCCACAAGAGTCAGTGACCAGGAGACAGTCCCACTTAACCTTAACCACTTCAGCCTGACACAGGTGACTTTACCTCACCTTCCATAGGCCGGAACTCCATCATGTGCCCCACCCTCCCAGCGGCAAGAGAGTCTGGGAAGTGGCCCTGGGGACCCAGGGGGACACAAACAAGGGTGAACACCAGGAATCAGAGCCACAATGTCACATGCTCAAAGCCTAAATGGGGTGTCTCCTTTTACATTCTGATCTACTCTTCTGTACTTTTCCGTCGCGGACCTTGTCATACACTGAATTAATTAGATATTTAAGTATTTCTTACTACCTGTTCTCACCTGCCACAGTAGAAGGGGAACTCTGTAGGAGCAGAAGCAAGTTCCGTTTCACTCGCTGCTTTATCCCCAGTAGCAAGATCAGCATCTAGTGTGATGTAGGCACTCAGTAAGGTCAGTGGAAGAAGGGGAGGAAGGAGGGAGCAAGGGGAGAAAGGAGGGAGGAGGGAGGGAGGGAGGGAAGGAGAAAAAAATAATTCAGGGAAGGAAGGAGAAAACAAGGTGAACAAGGAATGCCTGGGTGGGATCCTAACTCTTGCCACTAATTCTGTAGCTCTGTGTCGATTATTTAATTCTGTGAGCCTCAATGTCCTCCTATGTAAAGTGGTAAAGATCATTCTTACCATACAAGTATCACTGTGTGACCAAATTGAGGCTGCATCTCAAGGTTCCTAGCACAGGGCCCAACGGGGTCTAGGTAAGTAACACAGCAATCGCTCTGCCTGCTATATATATCCTATATTATAATATAGGTAGAGGCTGTACTTCCCCAAACACTGTAGGAAACTGCTTCCAGAAAGTTCTTGCAGATGCGTCTTTGGGCTGAGTGTGCATTCCTAAGAGCACATGCTGGTGCTTCTTTTCTGGGAGATGGGGGGACACGGAGAACCAGATCCTTTTGGCACATTCCCATCGTGCTTTCTCTCCCTCCAGGTTAAAGTTAAACAGCAAGAGGAACCAGCTGGTCAGAGAGCTGGAGGAGGCCACCAGGCAGGTAGCAGCTCTACACTCACAACTGAAGAGGTGAGTGGTGGCCCAGGGTGACCGGCCCCCTGGGGATGGCCAGGTGCAGGTATTCCCAGGTGGCCCAGCTGAGATCTGGCCTTGACTTGTCTTCTCTGGCTCCAATGTAGATGTGTGAAAGCTCAGAAATGGTGGTGAGGGTGGCGGGGACAAGGTCTTTCCCCTCCCTGAGCTGCTCCCACTGAGAGGGCCCCCCCCCACCCCACCACCCCCACCCCCTGGTCAGGCACTGGCATGTCTGAAGAGGCCTCTGCTGCCTCCCGCTCTAGAGCAAGAGGCGTCCGGCCTGGCTCAGGAGGGCAGCAGTGCGTCACCAGAATTGATATCAGCATTTTGTGTTTATTAGATTTTTTTTTTTTAAACGGTTGCCTTCTTTGTGTAGCAGGTGCTACTGCTTTTCAAATAGCACTTAGGATGTCAGGTTCCCTTTTAAAGTAAATATTTTAAGGTAGAAAAAAGTGAGCTGATTTTAAGAGAAACAGTAAGAAATATTTCAGGTTGGGTTCAAATATGGTACCATATCATGGCCAGCTGCGGAATTGCACGCCTGTCATCTCAGTGCCTGGGAAGGCGGAGGCAGGAGGATCTCGAGTTCGAGGTCGGCCTCAGCAATTTAGCAAGACCCTGTCTCAGTGTAAATAAAAAGGGCGGGCTGGGATAAAATGCAACCGGATTCTCCCCCTAGTACCGAAAAAACAAACAAACAAACAAAAACAAAAACCCCAGCATTATGAAAATGCAGTGTGGCCGGTGGAGAATTGAGAAATGCATAGGAGGCAAAGTGGACTTTCGGGCATCTCTCTTGGGTTCAAAGTGTGGCCCTGCCACTCTGGTTATGTGGCCTTCTTGGGTGTGTGTTTTCCTCTGGTGAAGGAGGGGTGCAAGGTGGCCGCCAAGCGGGCCCAGTGGGACCACGTGTTCTAAGAGCCCTGCTTCGTTCTCCGACGCTCACACACAGTCCCAGCGGCCCACTTCATTAACGTTCTGGGTAGTCACTGTCCCTGTTCTCCCTGTCCCCAGCCTCTCAAGCAGCATGCAGTCCCTGTCCTCGGGCAGCAGCCCTGGTTCCCTCACATCCAGCCGGGGCTCCCTGGCCGCCTGCAGCCTGGACTCCTCCGCCTCGGCCAGCTTCACTGACCTCTACTACGACCCCTTTGAGCAGCTGGACTCGGAGCTGCAGAGCAAGGTGGAGCTTCTGCTCCTGGAAGGCACCACGGGCTTCCGGCCCTCGGGTTGCATCACCACTATCCACGAGGATGAGGTGGCCAAGACCCAGAAGGCAGAGGGAGGTGGCCGCCTGCAGGCCCTGCGCTCCCTGTCTGGCACCCCAAAGTCCATGACCTCCCTGTCCCCACGCTCCTCCCTCTCCTCCCCGTCCCCGCCCTGCTCCCCTCTCATTGCTGACCCCCTTCTGACTGGAGATGCCTTTCTGAGCCCGCTGGAGTTTGAAGACCCAGAGCTAAGTGCCACTCTGTGTGAGCTGAGCCTCGGGAGCGGCACCCGGGAAAGATACCGGCTGGAAGAACCAGGAGCAGAGGGCAAGCCTTTGGGCCAAGGTGAGGAGCGCCGTGTCCACGGGGTGGAACCAGGAGTGGGGCGATGCTTTGCACTCAGGGCCCCTGTGGTGACTGTGGCCAACACTTCCTGTATGCCAGGTCTTCGTACGGTAGATAATTTAGTTATTCAGGAGACACATCAGCTCTGTGTGTGCTAGGTCCTGCACCAGGCCTTTCTCTTGGTGAACTTACTCGTTCAACAGATGTTTAAGTACCTACTAAAACTGAAGGCCACATCTTGCACTGACAGATGCATTCAGCAGACAGGCCACGTCCCAAACACTGGGCGAGTCCCTCAGTCAGTGGGTAAGACACACAAGTTCCTGTTCTCAGGAAGCTGATTTTTCCTTGGAGACACAGGGGAGAACATGCACCCAGATGAAAGTACGAAGAAGTACATCATGCAGGGCATGTGATAGTGCCTTCAGGCCGGAGAGGGACAGCCAGTTCACACTGGGTTGTAAAGGAAGGTGACCTGGGAGTAGAGTCTTAGATGACAAAAAGGAGCCAGCTGTGAGTCAGTGATAGGGGACCTAAGGCTGAGTTAAGCGGAGGTCCATTAGGAGGAGAAGTTTATCTTTAGCAGCAACTACATAACAATGCACAGTGCTTGACATTTATTAAAGATGTACTATACGCTGGTGAAAGAGATTGCTTCTCCTTTGCCCATTTCACAGATGAGGAAACTGAGGTTGAGAGAGGCAACATCGCTTTCCCTCAGTGATCCAGGCAGCAAACAACAAAGCTGGTATTGGGACCCAGGGTTTGCCAATCCCAGAGCCCAAGAGCTTTCTAGCCATGCTCCTTTCCCACTTATGATGGGAGGCAGCTCAGTGTTTATATGTGTGACACTCCTAGTGCTTGCCAGCCCCACCAATTTCCTTTGGCTCAGGACCTGATGGTCATTACAGAGCAGGTGCCCAGTAAGCCCACCTGGGGCTCCTCATTTTCTTGGCACCCTGTCCCTGCAGCACACATACCCAAAACACAATAGTAGCCATGATGCCTTGACCCAGGTATACAGAATTCAGGGGCCATTATGCACATTTACCCATGTTAATCTCACAACTCTGAAGTGGGATTGATATTATCCTCATCTTACAGATGGAAAAGGCAAGGCACAGAGAGGTTAAAAGTCTTGTCTTAAGATTAGTTGCACAGCAGTGACAGAATGAGGATTGGCCCCTGCCCAGGTCCCCTCTGTAGCATATGCCCATCTCTGTCTGCAAATGGCTCAAGCTCCTGGCTCCTCATGAGGCCAAGCAGGAGAAGCTGGACCCATGTCAGCCTTATGATTCCAGGAATGGGCAGGGCAGACACTCATGGGCCCAGAATTGTCCATTTACTTTCAAGAGCCAGTGGGAGCCAGCCCTGGTTAACCAGGGCTCTGAGTGGCAGTGGTTGCTTTAGAAAAGGAGCCTAGAGATCCCTGGGGTTCCCTCATCAAGAAGGGAGTCTTGCTGCGTGCTCTCAAACAAAAATAAAAACAAGCCTCCTCCTACAGCAGGTGGCAAATGGTTTCCTGGAGAGGAAGGGGGTACAGGTGGTGCCTCTCACCAGGCTGGAGGGGTGTCTCTGACGTTCAGCCGCGTCAGGACACTCAGACCCCTGCTGGGTCCTGGGGAATGTCTGCCCTCCCCTCCCAGACGGTGTCCTTGGGGCTCTTGGGCCAGAGACTATACCCAGGGCTGGACACATTTCCTTCGTGCCATCTCTCAAAGCCTCCCCCGCAGAGAGCAATGCCAGCCAGAGCTCAGACGCTAAGCAGGTTATGCGATTAGGGCCGCTGCTCAGTCAGCAGACAAATTAATCTCCTTAAGTGGGTTAGTGGAGGGTGGAGATGCGCGGGGCGAAGGCGGGAGGTCTCCTGGGCTCGGCGTGGGATGCAGGCTGGGAGAGCCGCTTCCCAATGCCAGCACGTTTCTTCTCCCTTGTTCTCCTGCTCACCCCTCCTCTTCCCAGTCACTGTGCCCCGACTCTGTGCACTGCCACGTGGTGAGCCCCTTTCTCCCATCTGTCCCCTGTGCCTGGCACACAATGGTGCTTAGAAGTGTTGGCCGTGAAGTCGCAAGGCCTGGATCTGTCCTTCCCCACCCGACAAGGGCCAGAAACTTTGTAGCCCTAAACCTGGCGACAGGCCTGCATACCATAGGTGCCCATTATTTGGGTCAGGAAGGAACGTGCATAGTGTGGCACCACACCTAGCTGTAAACCCCAGTCAGACTCAAGGACTTGTGCTCAGGGGAGGAAGCGGAGGGGGAGAGCAGGGACCTCATCCTTCGCTTGGCTCCTGCTCAGGAGTCGGGCCTGTATTTCTGCTCCAAGTGTGTAGGGACGGGCCTAGAGGACATCACCATAGTGATAGAGGTGGACAGTGGTAATGAACTTGGTGGAGCCCTTGGCCTGGACCAAGCTCTGCACTGAGGACTTTGCCTATGCTGCCCCCCCCCCCCCCCTATAGAGTAGGTGTCAGCATCTCCATTCCACAGAGGAGGAATCTGGGGCTTAAAAGGTTAGCTGTGGCCTAAGGGCGTAAAGCTGTGGGGGTGGAATTGTGTCTGCACCTGGACAGTTTGATTCCAGGGTCTGGTGTGTTAAATGTGAAGTCATTCACCATCCTTTCCTTGCCCCGAAGCAAAGCAGGGCCTTGCTCAGAGCTCAGAGGTGGTTGGAGTTTGGTGGGACAGAGGGGAATCAAAACTGTGAGGCCAACCCCTGTCCTGGCATCTGATCCTGCCCTGCTCTCTTTCCTTTTCCCCCCTCCTCCTCCAGCTGTGAACGCAGCCCAAGGGTGCGGCCTCAAAGTGGCCTGTGTCTCAGCCGCAGTGTCAGACGAGTCAGTGGCTGGGGACAGTGGTGTGTACGAGGCTTCTGTGCAGAGGTGGGTCCCTGAATGCTGGTTCTGTGTGTCCGGGGGAGCTTGACTCCTAGGTATGCAAAGCGGGCCTGTGGGAGCACCTGGCCTTTGACCCCTCAGGTGCACAAGAGGTCATTTGTGACAGCTCCCGCTGCCCTCAAAGCCCCGTTTGGGACTGTGCCTAAGATGCATCCGCAGAAACCAAACCCACAGGCGTGGCTTTTCCTGGGGCTAGAGCTGCTTGGGATATTTGTGGGATCCCGTTCTAGGGCAGCTATTGCAAAGTGCCTGCCAGAGAAGCGCATGCTAGAAAAGGGACGCCCTTTAAGAGGCACCCAGAGCAAAAGGGGTGGAGGTGAGGTCTGGAGGGATGCTGGGCACACCCCCATTGTTCCTCCTGGAGGACCCGGGTGACAACCTCCCAGAGAGAACTGTGTCTCCAGAAATTGACTGTCCCAGGGCCCCTGCAGAGAAGCTCACTCCCTCTTCCCGGTACCTTTCAGACTGGGTGCTTCAGAAGCCACTGCTGCATTCGACAGTGACGAATCAGAAGCAGCAGGTGCCACTCGGATTCAGATTGCCCTGAAGTAAGTGGAAGATGAGGGCAGAGGGATGGGGTCTGCAGGGGCTCCTCCTCCACCCACGGCCTTTACCAGCATTTACCCTCATGTCTGCCTGGGGAGGAGGGCAGAACCGGCAGGACCTGTTCACCAGGGGGGACTGTTCACCACCAGGGAGGCTCTGAAATAAAAGCGTACCTGCTTCTTCCCCACCTCCCCACAGATGAGAAACACAGGTTTCTAAAGACTGTGACTCGCCCCAGCACCTGAGCTGGGCAGTGGCAGAGCCAGAACCAGGCCTGAGACCTCCTGCCCGCCAGGGTGTCTGTTCATTGTCACTGTGGCATCTGTCCATCCCCATTCGGATTCCAATGATTTGGATCCAAGTTGAACACGGGGTAGGGGGAGCATGGCCCACATAAGCGTGGTTTCCTCTTAATGGAAATGACTTCCATATTTTTTAAGTAGGAATTAATTGCTAGCATTTCAGTATCAGAAAACTTCCCATAAACTTCTGGCCTCTCTTTAGAAGTTCAGAGGACTGACAGCTCCAGACCTGCCTCTTCACATGGCTCTAGGTCTGTGTCCCCAGGTTGGTTCCCCGCAGTTCCCACCAGCCACAACCACATCTTGGGATTATTAAGGGAGAGAGAGAGAGAGAGAGATGTATTACTAACAGGTGTTGCTCTTGCCCCTTTTCATTTCAGGTATGATGAGAAGAATAAACAATTTGCAATATTAATCATCCAACTGAGTAACCTTTCTGCTCTGTCCCTGCTGCAAGACCAGAGAGTGTGAGTATGTGGCTGGGCGGTTGTGGGTTCTCCCCTCACCCTCTCTGGTTATCCCTGGGGACACTCTTCCTCCCTGTCCTGCAGGTATCCGTGCATGGGACCGTGATGCTCAGTGTCAATCCTGTTCATGCCCTTACAGACACCATGGAAAGCTGCTGTGGGCAGTCCCCATTCCTTCCCCAATGCAAACTGGGTACCTACCTCAGGATGGGGTGGCGAGCCGGTCCTTCATGGACCCTGCCCCTCAGGACTTCAGCCAAGAATGGGCACAGTCCTGTTTGTCTTCTCAAGTGTTCTACCCAGAAAGGAGCCTCCCACTCTTCAGAGTTGATGCCAGTTTTTTGGCCAGGATGTGACTGGGTATTCCCCGGAGGCTAATGGGATGGTACACACCTCTGCCGTCTCCCTGTTGCTCTTCCCCCTGCAGACCGGGTTTAGTTTCCTCGCACTCACCTGAATACCTGTTTTCTCCTGTAACTAGACCGTGAGGCCTAGCGGACAGCAATAGGGGCAACTTCTAGCCCCCATGGGGGTGGAACATGGGAAAGAAAGATGGAGGGTGGGAAAGCCAACAGAGCAGAAGGAAGACAAGACTGGACCCTTGGCTCACTTCCAGGCTTTGCCTGTGCAAACAGTGGCAGGACAACCAACCTTTCCCCCATCTCGCTGGCACCCGTGCAGGGGTATCTGGGACAGTGCCTAGAGGGTGGGGGTCTGGCCCCGAGGATCAACACATCTGTGGTTTTGCTCAAATCCTCAAGTTCTCCTCTGAAGAGGTTGTGGCACTTTGCCTTCTCCATATGAGGGGCCTGACGGTCCCCCTGCCCAGTGGTCACAGGCATCCCTTGCAGATCCCTGCACAACACCCCCAGCTTGCCTGCTCCACTGCGCTTTCCTGGGGGATTTTAGCAGCTGAGAACCAGCACATCAGCCTCAGACCTGGGTTGACCCGACCTCCCGGTGGTTCTGTCCCCCTTTAGGAACATCCGCGTGGCTATCCTCCCTTGCTCTGAAAGCACCACCTGCCTATTCAGGACCCGGCCCCTGGACGCCTCGGACACCCTCTTGTTCAACGAGATGTTCTGGGTGTCGGCGTCCTACCAAGCCCTTCACCAGAAGACCTTACGAGTCGATGTCTGCACCACCGACAGGAGCCACGTGGAAGAGTGCCTGGTGAGGGCTGCGTCTTCTGTCTGTCTGTCTGTCCATACATCCATCTGGCCTTCAGTCCTTCTGGGGACTGGTCCACCCTGAGCTTTGAGAAGGCTGGAAGGAGAGGCATGCTGTGATGTGGGTCAAGCCTGGATTCCAGGCAGAGGTGTTTGCATGGGGAACATTGGGGGGGCTCCTCTCCGGCGAGGTGGCGTAATGGACCTTAGAGGACCTGGACAACACTAGCCCTGTGCCTCAGTTTTACTTCCCAGCCTCAGAGACAAGAAACACATATACAGATAAGTTCAAATCCCACCTACCACTTGCTGTATAGCTGGGTGACGTAAGGCAAGTTACTTAAAACGTCTCTGATTTTCATTTTTCTTGCTAATAAAATGCAGATAATTCCTCCCTCACGCCCATCGTCAGGGTTACATGAGGATTCAGTACATGTGAAACACCGAAGTGCCTGATACATGGTCGGTTCTCGTTAAAGATGAGGCCTTTACTGGTCCCCTAAGTGCGCACTCCATGCTGGGTGCTGGAGGCCCATGGGAGAATCCCTTAGATGAGGAGCCAGCTCGGACGGCTGACACTCAGACAAGTTGGCAGGGACCGTGTTGGAAACGTGGGTTGAGGTGAGAGGAGCAAATGTGGGTCCCAGGCAGAGGAGCCATGCAGGCTGTGTTTGCCTCTCCGTCTTCCCCGCCTCCTTGACAGGCTGGTCGTCTGATGTGAACACAGCCTTTGCCTGGAGCAGGAACATCTTAGCTGCCTGGGTCTGCTTCTGCTGGAACACCCTCTCTGGTGGAACCGTGGAGCCACAGGGAATGTCAGTCCTCAGCCTGGTCATCAGGCCTGCCCATCCCAGCCATCACCTGAGAATCTCCACTTCTCGGTCTCAGTTTCCTTATCTGTAAAATCTCACTTGTGCTGTTTCCTTAGCAAGCTGTTCTCCCGGATTCAATGAAGCACTAAAGCCACGCTTCTCAAACTTTGCACTGAGTTCCCTGGTGCTCCGCTTAAAATGCACACTCAGATTCAGTAACTCTGGAGTGTGGCTGGAGATGCCCCCAGGGGGTGACAATGCTGCTAGGCCCTGGGTCACACTTTGTGTAGCAAGGATGTATGATGGTGTCTGCACTCACTCAGTTCCCACTGGACATCAGTTCCCACCTCTCTCCTGCTCACTGGGGTCCATAACAGGGTTGCTGCCATTTATGGTGATACCAATGCTAACAATAATGCGGTGGCAGGTGTACATAGGATGAAATGCATGAGGCAGACGTTGAGCTAAGTCCCTGGCATGCATTCTCTCTGTTGATCCTTGCTGCAGTCTAATGAGGTAGGTACTGTATATCAGTAGGGAAACTCAGGCTAAAAGAACTAAAAGACCTTCCCTGAGGTCACATGGCTGGAAAGTTGCAAGAGCCATATTTGAACGCAGGCACATTCCCCTGTGAAGCCCACCCACACCAGCCCCGACGTGCTGTCTCTGCTAGCACAGGGCTCCCTGGAGCTACAGGTGGGGATGGTGGCTTAAAGGGTTTGGCAAGCGTGGTGGACGTTGAACGAAAGAACAGAAAGCTTTTCCAACGCCAGACCTGCAGTGAAGCCTCTCCTGAGCCTGGGCATTCCTACATGAGAGGAGCCCCAACCCTATTTTCTTCTCCTAAGTGGATCCCTTTTATTCCTCTTTCCTAATTGAAGTCTGGCCATCGCTGGTTGCCATGGCAGCAGCCAAAGCGCTCATCTCACCGCGGCTTCTCTCTGCCTGTGGCCAATGGGAAACCTCCTTTCCCGCAGGAGTGCGGACGTGGAGTGTCAGGCTGCCGTGTTTTGGTGGCTGGAGGAGGAGAGGAAGTGAGACGAGAGGGAGAGCGGGCTTGCTGCTCCCACGTGGAGTCTCCCTGCATTGCCGGGAAGGAGGAATCCCCAGTCGGGTTCCAGCATTTAATGGGCCAGCACTACTGTCTGCGTGTCTACTGTTGGGCCAAGAACTTCACGTGTGCAGAGTCTCATTCAGTTCCCCACCCAGCCCCTCGGATAAGGAACCCATGATCTCCATTTTGTAGAAACGGGATCAAGACCCAGAAAGGCTAAGTCACCTGCCCAGCTCATCCTGCGCGTGGAGAGACAGCGTGGATTTGAATACGAATTCCGCTCAATGCCTCTCAGGGTTATTGTAAGGGCTCTCATGTCCCCAGACCTAGATTATGGGTTTAGAGGGACATTTGCCTGCCTTCCCCAGCACCGCAGGTGGCAGTTCCACCGGATGCTCGAGGATGGCATCTCAGGGTCCCTGGCTCCCTGTTATTCAGCTGCTGAGCCCAACGCGGGCAGCTCAGGTCCTGCAGAGGCAGCCAGCTTCCCAGGTCCCATGGGGAATATCAACACGGCTCCCCTGGCGTTCCTTCACTTGGCAAAACCCCAGCCCTGCCAAAGCGACCTCCCCATCTGTGCGCAGCTGGACAGATCATGCACACGACCTCGCTACACAGTGCTGACTTCTCATGATCAGCCCGAGACTGCGTCTCCCAGACCCTTTATTCCCACCTGTGCGCAGACCCTCACCCCGAGAGAGGAGGCAGAACCGAGTGCCCCGGCTCCACCCCCACGTGGCTGCTTCTGCCTGTCCTTGGGGCTCCTCCACACTCCTGCCAGAAGCCACCCCCTTGAGGACGTCACCCCACCATTGTTCTGCTCTCTCCTACCCCCAACTTTCCCTCCCCTACTGAGTGCAGCCTCCCCAAGTCGCAGCGTGCTGCTGTTTCTCTTCCGCTCACAACAAACGAGCAAAACCCCTTTCGTCCCATTTCCATCTCCAAGTATGACACGATTTCTTCCCTTTTCTTTATAGCAGAAGACAAAAGAGATCACTTTCCTTCTGGAACCCAATCTCAGAGGGCTTCTGGCCTCGTGCTTTGCTCCTCGTGGTCATTGGTGACCTCCCAGTCACTCAGCGCAGTGGCTCCTTCTCCACCCTCATCCTCTGAACAGCCAGCGACGTGTGGCACGTTGCCTGCTCCGCCTTCCTCCACGTTTTCTCTTTACCTTGTCACCTCACCTTCATGGTGTTCTTCCCATGTCACTGGCTTCTCTCTTGGTCTCCTCTGCTGACCCCTCCTCATTTCCCTGACCTATGTCCGAGGGCCCCAGTGCTCCATCCTAGCTGATCTCCGCTTTCCGAGTCCCTTCCTTGGTGAACTCTCCCCGTCTTCAAACACGCTGCCAGGTGTGGTTGCAGCCTAGATCTCTGCTTACCTCAGACCTCAGATTCGCAGCACCTGTTTGCATCTTCTCTTACACGTCTCAAGAGTACCTCAAGCCAGCGTGGCCACAAGAGCACGCCGATGTGTCTCCCTGTGTCTTTGCCATCTGGGCTGATGGCATCCTGAATAGGGTCCCTGTTATTCAGCTGCTGAGCCCAATGCGGGCAGCTCAGGTCCTGCAGAGGCAGCCAGCTTCCCAGGTCCCATGGGGAATATCAACAATATCGTCCATTGCTCAGGCCAGACACAGTGGCCTTTCTTGTTCTCCCACCTCATCTTGTGCAATTCACCTTCTAAAGATCCCTAGAACCCCACCACGTCCCCCGGCCTAAGCCACTGTCATCACTCACCTGAGGGATTGCAGCAGTCTCCTCCTTGGTCTCCCACTTTTGTTATCTTCTCCCCCACCTCCCGGGAGCCTATATGTAGGAGCCGTTCTCTGTTTTTCCAGATGAGGATGCAGGTGCCAGGCAAGTCAAGTGTCAGCCTGGTGTCGGCTTCCCCTCCCCACTGAGCACTGCTCTCCCAGAAATCACCTTTATCCACCCAGACGTAGCACAGTCCATGCTCCGCTCCACTCCATCCTGACGCAGGTTGAGTATCCCTATCCAAATTGCCTGAGACCGGGAACGTTTCTTTGGAATATTTGCATATACATATCTTGGGGTTGGGACCCAAGTCTAAGGAGAGGATTCCTTTATGTTTCACGTACCCCTCCTACAACTAACCTGAAGGGAATCTTTCAAAATATTTGTAATAATTTTGTGCATGGAACAAAGATTTTTCCCCTTGTGGCATCACACTGGTACTCAAAAAGCATTGGGTTTTGGAGCATTTTGGATATTGGGTTTGGGGATTAGATACACTCATCCTGGAGAAGGAGAAAGCAGGAGGGTCTCAGGGGGACTGAAGAGCCCGTTTCATATCCTGGGATCCATCCCTGGCCATGGCCGGCTGCAAGCCCTCTTTGCAAACTTCTGTTGCTATTTCTACCAGCCACAGGCACAGCCACTGATGTGAGAGAGAGGAGGGGAAGGAAGGTGAGCTAAATCCCAGATCTAACCGGGGCTTTCCAAAAAAGGAGTGGCGGAAGCAGTAAAACCTGAGCAATGATTGAAGTCAGTTTGTGGTTCCTCCCGCTAAGGAGAAACTTTCAGTAAAGCCTTTCTTTATGACATTATATCTGATTTGTCCATTGGTTGCAGTTTATTTTTATCATAAGGAGTGTATTTATATGATTCCAAGGAAAACTGTATGGAAATCTCACTAATAAGAAATCTCACTCTTCCCCCATGGAATATTTTTGATGGAACCATTTTGACCAGTTTCTTCTTTACCTCCCATTAGTTCTTGATTCATATATGATCATGTGATCATACTCACTCCCCTTGTGCCTCAAACATGGTACAATGAAGGGTATTTAGAAGGTACTGGGTGCTGTGGTGCATGCCTCTAATCCCACTTTATTTGGTTTATTTGGGAGGCTGAGATAGGAGGATCATCAAGTTTGAGGCCAGCCTGGGCAATTTAGCAAGACCCTGCCTCAAAATAAAAAGTATTGGGGCTGTGGCTCAGTAGAGCCCTTGCCTGGCATGCATAAGGTCCTGGGTACTGATCCCCAACTCCCCCCCCTAAAACATATATATAGATAGATAAAAGATACGTATGTTCTCCATTTTTAATACACAAAACAGTATACCATTTCTTTGGGATATTTGCTTATACATGGCATCCTTTTGTGCACCATGTTCCTTTTCTCCTTAACAATGTGTCCTGGACACCTCTGCATCGGTACAAAGAGCGTTAATTTTTTAACCTGCTACATAATCTTCCATTGTATAGAGAGGTTGTACTTTATTCAAACAGTCCCCTTTTGCTGGACCTCCGACTTGTTTGAAATCTGCTACTACAAAAGGAGTCAAAAATGAAGATTCCTTTTCATGGGTCATTTTCCCATTTACCCTGCTTATGCAGGGCTGTCTGTGGCCCAGACATCCACAAGGAGAATTGCTGAGTCGAAGGGTTAAATGTATCTGTATTTTTGCTACATATGGCCAAATTCCCTTCACAGGGTTTCAGCCCTTTTCTATTCCCACCTGCTAAGTGAGAGACTGCTTGTTCCCCTAGCCTCCCTGAGAATGTGCTTTGTTGGCTTTTTGATGAGTGCATGTTTTGTAGGGGAGAAGTGAGTGATAGGTGGTTTTTTTGCCTGACCTGTAATTACTTGTTCAATGTCCCATTCCATCTCCTAGAGACCACTAGCTCCTAGGAGATGAGACTGTTTTGGGGACCTTCATTATCCTTAGAAGGTACCACACAACCTAATGCTCATTAGGGTTAATGTAGGAGAGGTCTCCAACACCAAACATCAAATAACCCAAATTAAAAACTGGCAAATCACTTGAATAGACATTTTTCCAGAGATGGCATACAGATGGGAAATGTGCACAGAAGATGTTCGGCATCACTAATCATCCAAGAAATGCACGTCAACACCACCTTGAGATATCACCTCCCACACATTAGGATGCTGCCTATCGAAACACGACAGAGAAGATACACAGCAAGCGTGTCATTGTGGAGAAAGTGGAACCCAATGCAGTGTTGGTGGCATCATAAAACAGTGTAACCGCCATAGGAAACACAGTGGAGCTTTCTCAAAATATTAAAAATAGAATTATCACGTGACCCAGTAGTCTCACTTCTGGATATCTATCCAAAAGAACTGAAAGAAGAGTCTGGAAGTGGTATGTCCACACTTGTGTGCACAACTTCACTTTTCACAATATTAAAGAGGTTGGAAGTAACACAAATGTCCATGGATAGATGAGTAGGTAGACATTGTGGTCTGTGCTCATGAAGGAATATTACTGAGCGATGAAAATGAATGGGCTTCTGATACACGCTACAATGTGGATGGACCTTGAGGATGTTGTTAAATGAAATAAGCCAGTCACTAAAAGACATACCACTTGATTGCACTTACATGAGACATCTAAAGTAGTAAAACTTATAGAAGTAGAAGCATGGGATTACCAAGGGCAAGGGAATAGAGGACAGGGGCACTGTACTAAAGTGTAGCACTTCGTATTTGCAAGATTTAACAATTCTGAAGATCTGTTTCACAATAATGTGCCTATGCTTAATACTAAGGAAACATACCCTTAAGATGATAAAGGTTAAAAAACCATGTGGGTTTTTTAAACACAATAAAAAAGAAAAAGAAAACAGGATAGATGCTCAGGAAAATATCTGTTGAAGGAGGGCTTGAGGTGTAGCTCAGTGATGGAGCTTATCAAGATGCTGGGTTCAGTTCTCAGCACCAAAAAAAAACGGTATAGAGATGGTGGTGCATGCCTGTGGTCCCAGCTACTAGGGAGGCTGAGGCAAGAGGATTGCTGGAGCCTGGGAGTTTGAGGCCAGCCTGGCCACCATTGTGAGACCCCTTCTGAAAAAAAAGAAAAGATTTGGCAAATGAGCTTGCCGGTGAGTGAATGAGTTACTGGGGATAATGCCTAGTCCGTTCTTAAGCCTCCATCTCTACCTGGCAGTGGCGGTGTGGTGGTGTTTTCCATATTGTCCCCAAGAGCCAAATTCTGAGGACACCTTGTCACCCCCTATTTATATTCTCTTTCCTTCCACCCCCGACAGGGAGGTGCCCAGATCAGCCTGGCAGAGGTGTGCCGCTCTGGGGAGAGGTCGACTCGCTGGTACAACCTCTTGAGCTACAAATACTTGAAGAAGCAGAGCAGCGGGCCCAAGACAGCTGGAGCCGCGGGCCCCAGCCCAGGGCCTGAACGCACGGTGAGCTGGGGTCCCATCCCGGAGCCCCGACCTCTCACACAGGCGGCCGCTAGAGGGTGGGGTGGCCTCTTCCCTAGCAGAGTCAGGTAGGCAGGGCTCACTGGTGCAGGAAATGGGGTGGGGACGAGGAAGGAGTGAGAAAAAGGACAGGAAGGCAGGGCCTTACTAAGGGATGAGGAGCTCCCCATCTAGAACCCGCTCTCTCTGCGTCTCCCCGCCCCCTTCTGTGTTTTGCACTATCTAACATCACTCGCCTGCTAAACACCTTAGTTCACGTTGCTTAGAAAGGGAGAGCGGGGTGGAGCGCTTGCCTGGCATGTGCCAAGCCCTGGTTTCTGTTTCCAGCACCAAAAATAGAGTGGGAAAGAAGGTCGCAAGGTAGAAAGGAAACCTTCCTTATGACCCTGCTGTGCAAGGCCCGTCCCAGAAATCAGAGAAGAGGAGCGGGAGCCAAGGCAGGGACAGTCAGAAGGCCGGTGTCCCCAGCCGGCCGCAGGGCTCAGGCACGCAGCAATCTGAGCCTCCGTGGTTTTCTTGTGTGAGCCTTGACAGGTTGCTGTGAGGTCTGAAGAGAGCAGGGCGTGGGGCTTGAGAAATGGTGACGGTTTCGCTATTATTTTGACTTACTTAAGAATTTCGTATTTGCCTCTTTGGGGTTTAAAAAAAAATAAGTTTCCTGTCTTAGTGCTTTGTAACAACAGAGTCTTGCTCCCCTGAGTCCTGGCCGGTAGTCTACTTGGCCAGCGGGTGTGGACCTCGAAGGGCAGGAAACCGTCTCGGGTATTTGAATAGGTCAAGTGTGCTAGAGATGAGGCTCCGGGTTCAGTCTGTTTTCTCTTTCTCTTTCCCCTGGTCTTCTCTTGTCATCTTCTGTACTCCCTTTGTGTCCATTGCTGACCTGTTACATGCAGTGCCCCACAGCTCAGAAAGATGAACCAAAATTACACTATCAATGTCCATCAACCAGCTGCAAAGCTCAGGGGCACACCCTGCCCCGCCCCCCCTCACTCCGAGGAGACAGTGAGCTGGCCAAGGTCCTGAAACGAAGCTCCTCCCCCTTCTAGCACTTGACCCTGAGTAAGCACCTTCCACTCTCACGCACAACTGCCTCCGTCCCATCCCTCAGGGGGACAGTAACGCCTGCCTATCGGGATCATGGTGGGATTAAAAGGATGCTATGTATAAACTGTCCACCTCGTTCCTGGCCAGTATCAGGCCTTCAATTGATTTTTGTTCTTTCTTTCCTTTCCCAAAAGAAAAATGTCAGGAATTATCCAGACTCTGACCTGTGCTCCCAGGGCCCATTGCAAATTCACCATGGGCCCAGAAAACTGCAGGTCCTAGTTTTTGCTTTACTCTCAGTTCCCATTTGCTGAGTGCCAATTGTGTGCTAGGTGCTCTTCTGGGTACTGTATATAAATTGTGTCGACTGGTCTCCATGGCAACCCTTAAAGGAGACTCACGTCACTCACGCTTCTTCACTGCAGACACCAGTCAGTAGAGACGGTCTTCCTCCAGGACGCCCTCCCCGAATGCCATCCCCCACACTTGCTGCAGTTCCTGTTCCCAAACATGCGATCCTGGTCCTTCCCATGTCGTTGGGTTACTGATGGAACACGCATTGGCCTCCCTGACATCTCTGTTCTCCTCACAGTCAGACCTGTGATTCTCTCACTTAACCTTCCAAAACCCTACTGAGCAGTTCCACATGCACCACGGGGTTATTCTCTGGAGGGAGAGGAACCAGGAACTGTAGTTCCGGGATGTAAGTGACACTGGGCAAGACACCTGGCCGCGCTGGACTTCAGTTTGCACCCTCAGTTCCCCAGGAGGGTCAGGGCTCTCAGATGCTCGGACTCCTGGCAGGTTGGGCAGCATCCATGGTCCCTCCACTAACCCTTGGTCTCTGCAGGACGCTGTGTCTGCCCTGCTAGAGCAGACGGCAGTGGAGCTGGAGAAGAGGCAGGAGGGCAGCAGCAGCTCACGGGCGCTGGGAGACAGCTGGTAAGTGAGCGCTCCCTTGGACCTTCAGGGCCACTGGGTTTGGACCTGGGTCCAGGGATGAGATCCCCCAAACATCAGGGCAACCAACAGACAGGTTCTCCTCGGGGCACTGAGAACCTTTCCCCTCATGGACTGTCTACAGGCAATAAGACACCGTAGCCGGTACGGTAGTTCCTAATATCCCTGTCCCTCTGGATGTGGAGGGACAGGGATATTAGGAACTAATATCCTGGAATCCCAGCTGCTCTGGAGGCTGAGGCAGGAGGATCCCACATTCAAGGTCAGCCTGGGCAAATTAGTGAGTCCTTGTCTTAAAATGAAATTTAAGAAAAGGGCCAGGGATGTGGCTCAGTGGCCGAGTACTTACCTAGCATGCACAGCTCTGGGTTCAGTCCCCAGTGCTACCACTACCCTCAAAATAATCCCTTCCCAATTTGGCATTTTGTGTTCCATGGATCACCTATGCAAGGTCACACCTAATGTTATTCATTGTCTTGCACTGACATTTCTTTTGCTTTTTCTTGGGGTGAGGGGTGGTGGGTACTAGGGATTGAACTCAGGGACACTCAACCACCGAGCCACATCCCAGCCATATTTATTGTTTTGTTTAGAGACAGGGTCTCATTGAGTTGCCTAGCACCTCACCGTTGCTGAGGCTGGCTTTGAACTCGAGATCCTCCTGCCTCAGTCTCCCAAGCTACTGGGATGACAGGTGTGTGCTGCCACATCCGGCTGACATTTCTTTTGGTCAACAACTTTTTGATTAAATTTTTTATTGGTATAAATGAAAAATTTGTATCATATGCCATAAATTAAAAGTTCATCAGTAAGGATTGCATTTGGCTGCTAGAACAGGGAGCAAAATAATATAAATAAGTTTCTTTGTTACTTAAAAAGAATATAAGAAAGTTTCCAATTCTGTTAGCATGATTAAAGTTGTTAGGAACCCAGGCTTCTCTTCTCTGCTTTGCTGTCTTTACTATGAGACCTCCGTCATCCGGGCTGCTTGATAGCCCAAGATGGCTCTGGACTACCTGCCCTCACACAGTCTTTAGTCAGGAAAGAGGAAAAACCAAAGAATGTGCCTCTGGGAAATGAAGGTATAGCTTAGTGGTAGAGCAGTTTCCTAGCATGTACAAGGCCCTGGTTTTTAATCTCCAGCCCCACAGATAAAATTAAGCCACATACAATTTCTTTTTTTCTTTCCATTTTTTGTGGTACTGGGGCTTGAATCAAGGGCTCTGCGCTTGCTAGGCAAGTGGTCTCCCACTACACTGCATGTCCAGCCCTGCACATAATTTCAGTGTGGCTGGTAGTCTCAACTAGCCCAGCCCTAGTTTCATTTTAAAAAATAGAAGAGACATGCCTGTGCACCTTTTCACCAGGAAGCAGATAGGACAGTCATATGACTTCTGGTTGCTTCTTCTTGTCCAGTCCGCCACTTGGCCTGCCCAACTTCGAGGGAGACTGGAAAATTAGGACTGTTGATTACAAGTTCAAAAATCAGATGTCCATCACTAAAGGAAAAAAGAAGGAATGGATATGGAATAGGCCAGATGCCAGGTCCCCCTCTGGAGGTAGCTGTGGAAATCATAGCATAACGAAAACAGCTGGGCCTGACATCTTCCGGCTCCATGTTAAAAAGGAGCTGAGCCAGTGTCTCAGTGCTTTTGCCAGGGAGACTGTCTCCTTGATGGGACAGGTACTGAAGGGAGGGCAGCGTTCTCACTCTGACCTGATGCTCTGTGATTCCTTCTCACAAGCAGAAAGTTCCCGTGGCACCCTTGACATTGACCAGGGTGGCAATCCTGCCCTCTTCATTTTTTGTGTGTCACCTTAGCACTTTCTAATATCTTTTTAAAATTGACACACAATAATTGTACAAATGGACCATGTTGTTTTGAGACATATGTGCATTGTGTAATGATGCCATCAGGTTAATTAGAATATCCATCACCTCAAACAGCTGTCGTTTCGTTGTGCTGACACCTTCGGAGTCCCCTCTCCTAACTCTTCTGACACGCACTGTACATGCTTGGCCATGGTCACACTTCCGTCCAGGGCTCACCACAGTTGGCTCCTCCTGTCTATGCATGACTTCATACCCCTCCCCTCACCTCTCTTCTTCCCCCCTCCACCTCCCTGTCCAGCTCAACATAATGCCCTCCAGACCCTCCCACGTTTCACAGATGACCAAGATTTATGGCCCCGAGGTCCTCCCCGTGTATACATGCCACGTTGTCTTCATCCATTCGCCTGATGATGGACACTTGCACTGCAGCAAACCTGAGAGTACAGGTGCGGTTTTACTGCAGAATAACACACATGCAGAAAGCGGATGCAAGTGGACTCAGCTCAGCCAACCTCCAGAAACTACAGAAGCAGAGCCGCACCAGCACCGTGGGAGCTAACCACGCCTCCTTCCCATCTTTACCCTCACCTCCTCTTACCTTGACTGAGCCTCCCCTGAAAACTGGGGTGGTGGGGAAATACCTAAGACCCAGGGTTTCTGGAAAAGACTGGAAGAGAAGCCACTAGTGAAGACAAACTACAGAGTGTATAGTAGACACTTAGTAAGTGACAGAAAATATTATTAGGGCAAAGAGATCCCAGCCAGGATTGGCCACTGCCTATGGATCTTGCCATCTGGGAGGAAGTAGAGTTTGGTCTTCAGCTCCTGTGCTTGGAATCCAGACAGATAAGCATTCAGAGGTTAGCTCAGCCAATTTCCTGGGGCATGCTGGGTCTGGGGTGTGGTCTGAGCTCCCTGAGTGATTGACAGGTGCCGCCTGGGCTGAGGACCACCACTCTTTTTATTATTGTTGTTTTTATGTTGGTTTTATTTTGTTTTGTTGATACTGGGAATTAAACCCAGAGGTACTTTACCACTGAGCTACATCCCTTGCCCTTTTTATTTTTTATTTTTTTATTTGAGATAGGATCTCACTAAGTTGCTGAGGCTGGCCTTGAACTTATGATCCTCCCACCTCAGCCTCCTGAGTGGCTAGAATGACAGGTGTGTACCTCACACCTGGTTAGGACCACCACTCTAAACCTCCGTTTCCTCATCTGTGCAGCAGAGATTTTAAAGATAGCCATTATATCATGGGGATTTTGCAGAGTCCATAAAATGATGCACGTTAGCACTTAACACAGACCCTGACCCAGAGGAAGCTGTACGTTGACTCTTGGATGATCTTTCTGTTAAGCCCCACTTTGTATATTTGGTCTCAGAAGGAGCCTTCCCTTCATATCTTTGACTCCGGAGATCACCAAATGTTTTCTGGAAAAGGCCAGATGGCAAATATCGTCGGCTCTGTGGGCCATATGGATCCTGCCGCAGCGCCTCCAGACTGCTTCTGTGGCATGGGAGCCCCTGGACAGTCTGCAGACCAGCAACCCTGTTTGTGCTCTACCGACATGTCATTTACGGACACTGAAATTTGCATTTCATATCACTTGCACCTGCCATGAATTAGCCTTCTCCTATTGATTTTTTCCCCAGACATTTTAAAATATAAAAACGATTCATAGCTTAGACTATCCAGAAAAAATCAGTGGGCTGGACTTGTCCCACCAGCTGTAGCTTGCTGACCTCTCTGTTAGTCCTCTTGGACTGTTTCTCCCTGTGAGAAAGAGTACAGCAAGGTTCCTGGAATTTTTGTGGGATCTTTTGTTTATTTTAGGGTCCTCCACACTGTCTCAGCCTCTGCCTCCCCCCCCCACCCTACTCTCTGGCACGACTGTGTCACCCTGTACTGTAATTCACACAGCCCAAGATCTGATGCCAGAAATAGGCCCAGGACCTGTCTCCCAAAACCCTGGCACGAGATCAGTGGCTTCCGCTAAATTCCAAGCTTGTGCTGCGACTTTTCAAGCCGTCTCCTAGCAACCGCCTTCTGTTCTCTCTCCCTTTGGGGCCCCCTGTATCCCCACCCCCTGCCATTCAAACTTCCCCAGCCTCTTACTCACAAAGAGGCCCGGGGATCCCCCAAGCTGCCTCGCGGGTCCGTCCATCTGCGGCCATCTCCCCCCAAGCTGGAGGCTTCTTTGGGTCCCAGGGTGGCTGCCTAGCTCTGGAGTCCCAGGTGGAGTTCTGCCAAAGGCCAGCTCTGCCTTCTAATTTACACTCTTCAGTTCAGCCCAAGGGTCCAGCATGGCATGTCTCTCCCTCTTTTTATTTGTTTAGGTTTCTTTTATTGTTGTTTGTTTGTTTGTTTGTTTGTTTTGCAGGGCTGAGGAGTGAATCCAGGGGCTCTCTGCCATGGAGCTACATCCCCAGCCCTTTTTATTTTTGCTAAGTTGCTGAGGCTGGCCTCAAGCTTGCCATCCTCCTGCCTCAGCCTCCCGAGTCCTTGGGATGACAGGGGGCCTTACCTAGGTTTGTTTAGTGCAGAGAATTATAATTTTTTTAAGAGCCGTAGCAAAATAAAATTAAGATTATTAGAAAACATAGAATATAATCACAACCATGCTAGACGGATGAACCATCCTATTTACCTTCTCAGGAACTTGTGTGTTCCTGTCTAGGGCAGATATGAAGTGGTGTTTCTGAGCCCCAGCGCATGCGTGTTTTATATTTCAATAGTAGCCGTGGTAGAGTAGTTCCCAAATGTCTCTGTTAGTACAGAAAATGTTCCCACAGCAGTGATTGAGAGTTTCCTTAACTTGCCCCCTTTCAGATGGTCGATTTAATTGAACTATTATACTTAAATCAACATTATGAGTCCTTTTTCTTGGTACCAGGAATTGAACCAAGGGGTACTTAACCACTGAGCTGCATCCCCAGCCTTTTTAAAAAAATTCTTATTTTGAAAGAGGGACTCACCTAGGTGCTAGGGCCTCCCTAAGTTGCTGAGGCTAGCTTTGAACTTATGATCCTCCTGCCTCAGCCTCCCAAGCCAGTGGGATTACAAGCATGTGCCACCATGCCCAGTCAACATTATGTACACTTCTGCTGAGTGCAGTGGCACACACTTGTAACCCCAGTGACTCAGGAAGCTGAGGCAGGAGGATCGCAAGTTCTAGGCCAACCTCAGCAACTTAGTTGAGACTTTGTCTCAAAAGAAAAAAAGGCCTGGGAATATAGCTCAGTGGTAAAGAAAGCTCCTTTGGGATTAATCCCCAGTACTGCAAAAATAAATAAATAAAAATAAAGCATATGTATACTTTTTATTTTAAAAGACGCCGCTAGCCCTCGTTCCTAGTATACATTCCCTCCTCTCCTTTATGCTCACCCCGTGATCTGCCTGTCTCCTCTACCTTCACCAGCACTTGATATTATCAGATTTTTTTTTTTTTTTTTGCCATGGCAATGGGTGAAAAGATGTTGTGTATTTTAATAATTTTTCTCTTTGCCGTTGAGATGGAGTGGGCTTTTCCCCCTGACCTGGAATGTTTAGATCAGATTCAGTTAAATGGAAGAGACTGCCATCGTGGTCGAGCCTCAATGGGCTTGGACAAATCCCCCTGGGAACTTGATGCTACCACTGAGCGCCCTTGCTGGCACATGGAACCTGAGGGTCTGTGCCCCTCGCTTTTTGAGTCTGTGAAGTGCATTGAGCTCTCCCAACGCTGTTGAACCATGAAGCATAGCACCAAAAGCACCGAGTTCTGCTGCTGACCTTTTTCCTGATGCACTTCCCCTGGATGCAGCATTCTTTCTAGAGGGGCTTCCATGGATTCCCAGGCTCCATGTCTTCTTCACGAGAAGATGGAGGAGCTGCTGGGGCCAAGAAGGGAAGGACAGGTCCCTCTGTGGCCAGAATCCCCAGCTGAGGTCCCAGGTGTCTGCATGGCAGGGTTGGTGGTAGAGACCCAGGATCCCTTCTCCCTGTTGGGAAATCCTCAGGGACATCTGAGGTTCGCCCTCAGCCTTGATGAGCCAGCTCCTCGTCGAATTCTCCGCTTCTGGCTAGAATTCTGTGGGCTCAGCGTGGCAAGCCCATGTCATGCTGCTCAGAAGCCTGGCAGGTTTGTACGTGTTTGAGAAGTCAAGATGAGGCCCAAGATAGATGACTGTGTAACACTGGAAATCCATTTGTCACACTAAATCTTTCCCACCCAGGAGTCCAAGGGCAGAGGACGGCTGTAAAGGATGTCGCCAAGAAGATTCTCTTGAGCCAGTCGTGCTGCACAGGAAGCCCCGTGGGGAAGAAGTTAACTCGGACACATATCTCACCTCGTGTTCAAAAAATAACACAAATGGGTCCTGAGTGAAAACTGAGACTGTGAAACTTCTAAAAGAAGACTATAGGAAATTCTTCCCCATGTCAGAGAAGGCAGAGATTTCTCTGGACATAAAAAGCACTGTAAAAGGAAAATGAATAAATTGGACTTCATCCTAATTAGAAACTTCTGCTCTTTGGAAGATACCATCTAAAAAAAATGAACAGGCAAGCCGCAGGCCTAGAGAAAATATTTTACAATAAAAATACCTGACAAAGGATTCATGTGCATAATATAGAATGATCTCCTATAACCCAGGTGTAGTAGATGACTAAATTCAAGGACCAACAAGGGTTTGGGATGCAGCTCAGTGGTATAGTTCTTGCCTGCTATGCTGGAGATCTTAGGCTCAATCCCCAACACAGGAGGGAAGGAAGGAAGGACAGAAGGACAGACAGACGGACCAAGTGTTAATGAGGAGCCAAAATTCTCATTTTATTGCTGGTGGGAGTATAAAACGAGAAAATTACTTTGAAGAGTCACTTTCGGTTTTATAAAGGATAAACTTATATTCACGGGATGACCCGGTCAATCTGCTCTTGATTATGTATGTGTCATGGGCTGCACCAAGTTCCCCACATTCATTCACTGAACCTTAACCTCCAGCACATCAGGCAGTGGCTGTATTTGCAGACAGGGCCTTTGAAGAAGCAACTAGGTGACAGGATGCTTTTAAAGTAAGGGTGAGGCCTAATCCAGTCTGGCGGGTGTCTTTATAAGAAGAGGAAATTTGTACACACAAACACCAGGGACGTGTGAGCACAGAAGAAAGAGCAAGTAAGGACCCAGCAAGAAGGTGGTCCTCTGCAAACCAAAGACGGGGTCCTCCGAGGAAACCAGACCTGCCGACACCTTGATCTTGGGCTTCAGCCTCCAGATCTGTAGCATTTCACCTCAACTGCTCCAGCCCATTCATATAATATCCAGGAGAAATTAAAACCTGTATCGGCCCACAATTCATGTATGTGAATGGTCTTACAAGCTTTATTCATAATGGCTAAGAACAAAAAGGAATCCAAGTGTGGGTCAACTGATGGAAAACTAAACAAATTGCAACATATCCACTCAGGGGAATATTACACATCAACAAAAATAACTACCGATGCCTGTAGGAACTGGGGGAACTTCCAAAACACTATACTGACAGAAGAGGCCAGATACAAGTAAATACATACTGATTCCACTTACATGGAACTGTAGAAGAATCTAATCTATAATGATAAGAAGCTGATCAGTGGTTGCTCAGGGGTGGGGGAAGATTGGGAAAGATGCAAAGGAATTTTTTAAAGCAATGGAATGTTGTAGATCTTGAGTGTGGTGGTGGTTACACAAGTGAGTACACTGATCAAAACTTGATAGCTGTACACGGAAAATGCATTTTGCTGATATATATAAATCACACCTCACTGCAGTTGGGTGTTTTGTATTCTTGTAGCGCTGGGCATCCAACCTAGGACCCATGCATGCAAGATAGGTGTTTACCACTGAGCTACATCCCCAGCCCTAAATTGGGGATTTTGAAAATAATGTACTCTCAATGATGAAAAAGCCTGGGAGTTTTTTCCTGATGCACTTCCCCTGGATGCAGGTGAGTGGCATGGCTTCTGGGATAATAACCACAGTGTCTTGTCATTGCAGGAGGTACGAGGAGGAGACCTGCGAGAATGAGGCTGTGGCTGAGGAGGAGGAGGACGAAGAGGGGGAGGAAGCGGAGGGAGAAGAAGATTTTTTTGCAGAGAAAGCCTCCCCAGATGATCACCCAGCATTGAAGGTAGGAAGAGCCTTTGAGCCCTGGCAATCAGAAAAGGTTGGGGCAAGGTCTCATCGTCTAGCATCAGGGAACAGGCTACCAGAACAGGCCACCTGCAGTAAATTGTTAAGGAGCATCCCTTGCCCCAGTGACTTGAGGTCATTTTGGTGACAGTAAACCAGGAGAGGCTGTCTCTTTTCTTCTGCTCTCTGTGGCTCCTCTGTTTCTCTGGATGCACCTCAAGCTTTACAGTCACATGGTCTCGGTTCAAACCCTGGCCTTGTCACTCCCTGCCTCTGTCATCTGGGGCAGGTGATTTCATCCCTTTCAGGCCTCTGTTTCCCGACTTTAAGATGGACGCAGTAATACCAATCTGCAGATAGTTTCGGAGGCTTCCAAAGAATAGATGTCTTCATTTCGGTGGGGCCAAAGGGCAACGAGAAAAGGGAGTCCAGCCACATTCCTTTGCCTCCTGCTTTCTGGCGGCACTGGAGTGTTGTAGCAGGATTCTCTTTCCATAGAGATCTCCAGCCTGCAGCTACAGCACCCACTGCATTTGAACAGGACCCCCAGGGTAGAGCTACAGGTGTGACGTGCTCCAAAGGCACCTGAACAAGTGGCTGGAGCAGAAGCTGAGCCCCCCTTCCAGCTCCCCTTTACATTTTCTCCAGCCAGACAGGGAACCTTTCTCAAAATCACACCACGGCGCTCTTCAGGCTAACAGAGTTCCTGAGCTTAAGTGCTTTTGCTTGCTTTTCTTTTACCTGGGATTGCTGTGTGTGGACAGCAGAAAACCCACTGGCTTTGTTTTAAAAAGGAGACTTGGCAGTGGCCTCTATAATTCAAAAAAAAAAAATCTGTGGTTCTGGACCGGGACAGTGGAGAGCTGGGGAATGTCTTTGTCAAAATGTGGGGGTACATAGGTCATGAGGACGTGAGGCCCAGGATGCTGGTGCCCGAGGTGCCTCACCATGTGAGTTTATTTGGGGGTTCCCGCTAGCCCCCCAGCCGCGGGTGGATGAATGAGAATGGGCACCTCCAGCCTTGGGCACCTCCAGCCTTGGGCACCGCTCTGGCAGGACTGGGCTGATTGACCCTGCTGTGCCTGTGGGCCCACGGCAAAGAGGCACAGGTCAGGTGGAGAGTGGCTGGGTAGACTGGGGGTGGGTAGCCGACACTCAGTGGACATGGTGTCCTCAAGCCTGCGACTTCTTCCTCAGGTGGACAAAGAGACCAACACGGACACGGTGGCCCCATCCCCCACAGTGGTGCGGCCCAAGGACCGGCGTGTGGGCACCCCATCGCCAGGGCCATTTCTTCGGGGAAGCACCATCATCCGCTCCAAGACCTTCTCCCCAGGGCCCCAGAGCCAGTACGTGTGCCGGGTAAGCTAGCCTCGGGCACCTTCCTCCTTCCCTTGGGTAGCTAAGACCCTCACCCAGCTCTGGATGCCAATCTGGATCCTCACGTTGTCAGGTAGCCTCCAGTTGGGGGGCTCCTCGAAGCCTTGGTTTTGTCAGGTTCACAGACCCACTTCATAGGGTTGATCTTTTGCTTGCTTGCTTGATTGATTGATGGGATTATTTAGTGGCACAAGAAAATGACATTATGAAACAAGCCAATGACAAGCAATAGGCACAGGATGATTTAGCTTTAGTTAAGTTTAAAAGTAGAGGAGCCAGGCACAGTGGTGTGCGCCTATAATCCCGGCAGCTCGGGAGACTGAGGCAGGAGGATCTCAAGCTGGAGGCCAGCCTTGGCAATGTAGCAAGACCCCGTCTCAAAATAAAAAGAGCCTTCAGAAATAAAAGAGAGTAAAGACTTTCCTGGTATGGGGGGGAAGACAAGAAATGTGGTACAGTGGTAGAGCACCCCTGGGATCAATCTCCAATACAATACCACCAAAACATTTTATATATTTATTTATTTTAGAATTTTTTAATATTTATTTATTTAGTTAGTTATTGGCGGACACAACATCTTTGTTTGTATGTGGTGCTGAGGATTGAACCCGAGCCGCACACATGCCAGGCGAGCGCGCTACCGCTTGAGCCACATCCCCAGCCCGCACCAAAACATTTTAAAAAACAATAATAAATTGGGCTGGGGATGTGGCTAATGCGGTAACGTGCTTGCCTGGCATGCGCAGGGCGCTGGGTTCAATCCTCAGCATCACATAAAAATAAAATAAAGATGTTGTATCCACTGAAAACTAAAAAATAAATATTAAAAAAATTTTCTCTCTCTCTCTCTCTCAAAAAAAAAAAAATAATAATAATAAATTAAATAGTACGAACAGAAAAAAAAACTAGAAAGTCTATACCAAAATATCCACAGTATTTACTCATGGTCAGTGATTAAATATTCTTCCTTTTTCTTTTGTGTATATTTTTGAAACATGAGGGTTTCCCAAGCAACAAAAAGTAATGGAAAGAGAAATAGTTATTAAATGCCAGAAGTTAGGAATCCGAGTGGCCAAACCAGGCGCCCAACAGCCAAGATCTGAAACCTGAAAGGGGTCCGGCCAGAGGAATCAGTCTAGCCTGGAGGTCTTTCTTGTCATTTCCCACAGGAGGGGTGTTTATCTGATTGCTTCCTGTCTATTTGATGCTCTCCATGTAAATACGTTGAAAGGGACTTTTGCTAGCATAAGCATGCAAGCAACTTTGGTTTGGGATTGCTGCAAGATGTCACTAGTTTTTCGTTGTATACCACACAACACACACCAGCTCCTGTAACAAAAACCCCATCTGACTTGCTGTCAGTGATTCATATGGATGGGGTCTCCCTCTTCCTCATAGGATCATTTTAGCTAAAGAATGTGCAAGGCTCAGTCATCTGCATTTGATCCACGTTATTATTATAATTCCCAACAACTTACTTCCTCCTTGTTCACACCCTGCCCTTCCCTCTCCTGAGACCATTTGCTAAGATCAGATAAGACCCTCGGCTCTTTGCAAAATTACCACCATTATAAACGTGCAGTGGAAATCAAATGGGAAGGAAAAATGTCACTCATCAGAAAAAAAATCACACCCAAAGAAGTTGGCCTCCTTCTTTTTCAGCAGGATTAGAATGCAGTTGTTGTTTTATTAAACAGGAGATAGAAAATGGAATAACTTTTGCAACGTGTTTATCTTTTCTAACTAAAAGCTCACTTTCTGTGAGAGGCTCACTCACCTGTCCAAACCCAAAGCCTGGACTGAGAGACAAAGGTCTTGTAAGATCAGGCCTCTGGGGGCGAGCAGACAACCCCCAGCAATGTCACAGTCAGCATTTTACCCCTAAACACGTGGTACCTCCCCAGGTCCTCATTGGCTGAGTAAATGGGGCCCACAGTCTTCCCTAATGTCACCTAGTTTTACTGTCTCTTATTGGGTTATTTAAAGAAATACACCTTGAATTGTCCTCACCTCCCTTTGTTCTCCCGTGGCAGGAAGGCCTTTGTGGGACTGAGTGCATTTGGGCACATATGGAGTTTATCTCTGTTTGGTCAGGCAGGCCCCCTCCCCCTTCCTCCTGGTTGTCAAGGGACTGTGAATCTGTCACACTCAGGTGTTAAGTGCTGGTAACCATTTGTTCTATTTCCTCCTTGGCTGATTTTCTCTCAGTAATTTTACATCTAAGATGAAACACTATATTCTGAAAATAGACCACTGGACTTTCCATTTCTTACCCCACCAATTTGTACTGTCAAATTCCTGTTTAAATGGGTTTAAGTGTCCCTTTTCCCAGATTGGCATCCTCGAATAACAAGAACCTCTGCTCTCTTTTATTATGCATCTGTAACTATCCGGTACTTGGCTAAGCCCTTTTGTGGTTTATGATCTGTGCCAGAATGCAAGCCTGCGAGTTAAGAGATTCCCAGTCAGCATGGACCACGTGCCATAAGGGGCCTTTCTTGGCAATGCCGTATATTTTTCCTTCTTTGCTGCTGAATCTTACTGAAGGGTACAAGAAATCGCAGGCTACAACATCCTGCGTATTTTCCTGTCATTTATCTTCAAACTCTTTAGGCATGGAGTACATCTCCCCAGGAACAACAGGTAGCAAGTTCACCCTCTGTTTTGCATACACAAAATGAGCATCGACAAACTCCCAACAGACAGTGTTAGGGAGGTGCCCCCACCTACCTCCACGGCACCACCAGCTCCATGCTTTCTAGTCTCTGACTGACAGCACGTCACTTCCTACCACCAAGGCAACAGACTGAGCAGAATATGTAGGGGAAATTTTTTGAAATTAGGTAGTTCACATATGTAATGCGAGGCTATATAACCAGCCTGAGAAGTCAGGTAGGAACAAGGCAGACTAGACCACAGGTAAAAGTATTCCATGAAGCCAACCAGGGGAGGATAATACAATGCGCTGCAGGACGTGGCCCAGCCAGTCTTACTGCCGCCTCTGGAATTCAATACATTAGTCCTCCCTTATCTGCAGTTTTGCTTTTTGTAGTTTCACTTATTCACAATCAGCCTCAGTCTGAAAACTTTACATAGAAAGCTCCAGAGGTAACTTATACGTTTTTAAATTGCATATGATTCAGAGCAGCATGATGAAATCTCAAGCCACCCTACTCTATTCCAGTTGGGACAAGAATCAGCCCTTTCCAGCGTATCCATGCTGTATACACTACCCTCTCCCATGAGTCTCTTAGTAGCCATCTCTGTTACCAGTTCAACTGTCAGCTACTGCGGTGTTTATGTTTAAGAAACCCTTATTTGACTTCATAATGGCCCTAAAATGCAAGAGCAGTGTTGCTGGCCATTAAGAATGGACGAAGGAAAGCTGTGAACTGCTTCCTTCGGTGAAAAGGTGAACATTCCCTTCTTAATAAGGAAAGGAAGATTGTTGTATTCTGAGATTGCTAAATCTTACAGTAAATTATTGTTAATGTCTTGTTGTGCTTAATTTATACATGAACTCTTATCACAGGTATGTAGGTGTAAGAAAGATGTTGTCTATATAGGGCTTAGTACTACCCGTGACTTTCAGGCATCCATGATGGGTCTTGGAATAGATCCCCAAGGTCGGGGGGACTGCTGTGCTGAAGCCTCCCCAGTTTTCTGTCCCCACTGGCCACCTCTAGTTGCTGCTATTGCCACTGCCACTGCTCCTCACTAATGGCCTTTCCCTGAGATACTGACAAGCATGCTGTGTGTGTAGCGGGAGAGAGGACCTTGTTTAAATTTGAAGGGCACAATAACAGAGAATTGGGTCCAGCGACCCAGGCTGTGATTCAGGACTTAAGGTAGGGTGCATCCAGGTGACAGCTTAGTCCTGTCCTCCTTCTCAGTGGAAGGGAAGCTATGAAAGCAAGGCTTGGGGCTTGGGGAGAGTGCTGTTTCCCACTGAGAATCATGAGGTGGATTTGCCCACCCACAGAATGGGATTTCAAATGCTCATCGACAACACCTCTCCTTCCCCTGCAAAAAAAAAAAAAAAAAAAAACTAATCTTACAAATCTCCCTGCAAGGCCTGTTGTGTCCACCTCATTTAATAGATGTCAAAGTACTTTGGTCCAGGGCACACAGGTGCTGAGTACAAAGCCCAGCACCTGTAGGCTTTCTATCACCCAGAGCCACCGCCTGAGGGGCTTCCAGTTGTGAGCAGCCCCTTCTCCTAGCCCATGTCACACCTTTGTACAATAAGTGTTGCCTCCTGGGTGGTTTCTTTCTTGGCTCCTCAGCATGTCCTATGTCCCATGGTTAGGTTCCCTGGCTTGGGGTCACACCTAACTTTGAAGTCCCCTAGGATAGGGATAGTGGATTACAGGTCTCTACGACACCCAGGTGTTTATCAGCTGTACTTTCCCATTTGCTGGTTGACCCACTTTGACCAGTGGATCCAGTCCCTCCAAAATTCTCATCCCTGAACAGGCTCCCTGTGACTTCAAATTACTGTCCCTCTCTCTACTTCAGTTTCCCTAGCTGTAAATGGAAGTAATAATGAGGCAGTGATATCCTCAGCCATGTATGAGATGAACGGCATTAAAATATCTGGTAATAGCTATGCATGGTGGTGGACGCCTATAACCCCAGTGACTCAGGAGGCTGAGGCAAGAGGATCGTAAATTCAAAGCCAGCCTCAGCAACTTAGTGAGGTCCGAAGCAAGCAGGCAAAGTCCTGTCTCAAAATAAAAAATTAAAAGGACTGAGGATGTAGCTCAGTGGTAGAGTATCCCTGGGTTCAATCCCCAGTGCCCAGAAAAAGAAATCTGGAAATAAGAGAAAGCAAAGTTCAAGAATTTAATGTAGCTTTCCCCTCTCTTTTACAACACGATCCTTGAAACATCAGCAGTCACAACTGAAGGGTCAATTATCTGACACCCATTTCTGGTGGTATGACATATATTCTTCCAATGCTGTGTTCGACTTGCCTAGTGTGGGATATAGTCCCCTTCTGGAACCACACGCAGCCATTCCATCCCTGTGAATCTACCCCAGCTGTTGAGACCATCTCCTTCCATCTGCACACTGGTTTCATTCCTGAGTCCTACATGCAGCTGGGGCCAGAAGTGGCATGACCCTGGCATTTCCAGTAGGCCTTGAGCTCTGGCTTGTGACCTGTAAAAGCATCTTTCTCTCCTGGACCATCATTGGCTTAGTTTGAGGATTAAGTGGAACTGTAGGTGAAGCACCTGGTGCTTGGTAGGTGCTTATCCAAGTGGCCATCATCGGTGTTAGCATCTGCCATCCTGTTTCTGGTTGTGGTTGAGGCTCTGTCTGGCACAATACCGGTTTCACCAGTTGCGTCCTTGAAGTTGCGATGTTCATCAACTCAGCAGGACTATTAATGCCACTATCATTAGTAATAATCAATAACCACAAATATGAAAACACCAGAGGCTACTCTAGAGAGGCCTGCCACCGAGAACTGACAGCTGCCAGACAGACAGATAGGTGCAGTAGCCTGGCCTGGGCCAGCCCTGGCGACTGTGGAAACAGCTTGGGAAAGGAGCCCCACCTGCTCTCACCTCCTGTCAACAGTCCTCTCTGGTTCTTGGGAGGGGGGATGACACCCTCAGTAGAAAAGCATCCCTTCTGGACCAGACACCTGATTTCTGACCATGAATGAGAATCCGAGCCCTGTGTGGGAGTGGAAGTGACTAAGGCACTGGGGGATCCTGCAGGAGAATTATGATCAGCTTAACCCTTCCAGCCCCTGTCTGCCTACCACTCCACAGATACAGACCCCAGGCTTTGCCTTGGAGCTGGGCTTTTTGTTTGTGTTTGTGGGGAGTTGGTTTGCAGTGCTGGGGGTGGAACCCAGGGCCTGCAGCATGCTAGGCAAGCACTCAGACTGAGCTACACCCCCAGCCTTCAGATGTCAGCATTGATAGTGGCTCTATTTGAGCCAGCTAAGATGGGTTCTGTGGCTGACAGGGAAGAGGTGATGCAAATAGCCCTTTGTGTCACAAGTCAAGGGGACAGGATGTCCTACGGCGACGCTGATGTTGTCAAACCCTGCTGGGTGTTCGTCAGCTCACCAATCTGAGGCACAGTCTGTGCCCTTGTTTGTAAAGTGTGGTGCTCCCATCACAGTGGCTGTCGCAGGACTCTCTCATTCTGCGTCATGCAGAGAGCAGCAAGCGTCATGCAGACATGCTCAGTGAGTGTTTGTGGGGTGCTGGTTTGCAAATAAAGAAAAGGGAGGCCACAGCGAGCTCAGAATAGACAACGGGGTGTTTGCACGAGGAGAGGGAGGATGGGGCAGAGTGGACGACCGAACATCCCTGCAGGCCCCAGCACTCCTTCCAGAGTGTGCTCTGACCATGCTTGACTTCCCTTTTCTCTGGCAGCTGAATCGGAGCGACAGTGACAGCTCCACTCTCTCCAAAAAGCCACCTTTTGTGCGAAACTCCCTGGAGCGGCGCAGCGTCAGGATGAAGCGGGTAAGAGCCACCAGAAGCTATTTGTGTGTCCACTCCGCCTTTATTTCCAGAAGGCCTGCATCCTGCCCACACGTGCCCTCTTGAGTGGCCATTTCTCCTTGGCCACTGGCTTGAAGGGCATTGTCCTCACAGGGTGGTGGCATTTGCAAATGGAAGTTTGGGAGCAATGAGGCCTGTGTAGCACTGGAGAAAGAGCCCAAGGGTGACCGTAGCCTTATGATTGGGACAGATGGGTGAGACCAGGGGTATGTGTGCTTGACCACCTGGGTGGAAATCAAAGTCACTAGGAACCAACCCAGATGTCATGGTCACCTGGTCTGATGGAATCATGCTCAGCACCTCCTGGAATCAGGTGGGAACAGGGAAGAGGCCCCAGTGCAACTGGGCTGAAAGATTAGGGGGTGGCATTCAGAAAAGGAGGGACCCCTTCTTAGGACTCTGACCACAGGACTGCAGGAGATGCTCCTCCTTAGGCTTTCAACATGGCTGGGAAGCACCTCTGTCTGGTGCGTTTGCAGAACCAGAAGAAACCCAGGAGCCCAAAGGTCAGAAAGAGATTAAAGAAAGAGCCAGAGAGGCGAGCAGACCTCACCCTGAGGCCCAGAAGGCCCTCTACCTCTCCTACAGGCCTGCCAGTGGACAGCCAGAAACGGGAGTGGGTCCTGGGCTGGGCTGTGACTCTGGCACAGCACTGGCCTAACATGCATGAGGCCCTAGGCTCCGTCCCCAGCACTGCACACGCAAAAATGTGGTCCTTTCATTGCCTAGTGCCACCTTTCTCCCTGTCCCCAGAAAGTCTACAGAGGCAGCAGAGAGGGCAGAAGAGGGAAAGCAGTCAGAGAAGGTGTGAGAGAAAGGCAGGGTGGCACTGTGGATGTGGCCTCAGGTGACAGGCTACCTTTCCACCCAGTGGATCTGCTGTTGCAGATCCTGTTCACTATGAAGATTCCAAGCCCACACTCACCATCAATCTAAGTCATTAGACTGGGAATGACATTTTCAGCTGTGTGAGGGATCCAGCCCTTCCTGCAGAAACATTGCTGCGCAACTCCTACCTGACCCCCTGCTCCTACCACTCCCTTCCAGGCGGGCCCTACAGATCCTGCCCTTAGCCAGGGGATGGCCCACTCAGGGGCTCCCCAATGGTGGGTCTGAGCCCATAAGAACAGCAGAGTCCAGAGGCTGGGCTCAGGTCTTGGGTCCATGCTTCTCCTTGCTGCCTGAACTGTGCCTCTGTGGCAGCCCAACCAGGCAAGACTGGACATTGGTGACAGCAAAGCACAACAGCTGCTCTGAGAACTTGAGCCGCATAGATCACTCAGCCGGGCTCCTTTGGCCCCCCCTCACTTATAAGCACAGACCAGATAATGTTCACCCTAGAGAAGCATTCTAGAACCTCTGCATGGAGCTAATTTATGTTCCTGAAACTGCTTGTCAGCCCTGCAAGGTGAGGAGAGGTCTTCTAGTTAGTGTTTCTTATACCATATCTCAAACCCCTTTACTGGTCATTGTGTCTATTTTGTAAGGCTATATATAACAAGTTACCACAAACTTACCAGCCTAAAATAATACATATTTATGACCTCAGTTTCTGTGGGTCAGGAGTTGGGCCACAAGTTAGCTGAGTCCTCTGCTCAGGGTCTCAGCAGGCTGAAGTGTAGGTGTTGATTGCATCCTGATCTGGAGATTTGACCAGGGAAAGGGCTGCTTTCAAGCTCCTTCAAGTTGTTGGCAGAATCAGTTCCTTGTTTCCCTACTAGCTGCAGTCCACAGGCCCCTCTCAACTCCTGGAAGTCACTCTTAGGTCTTTGCCATGTGACCTCTCTGTAACATGCATCACTTCTTCAAGGCCAGCAGAGTCACCCAGCCAGGAAGAGCTCAATCCATCTTTTAAGGGCTCACCTGATAAGGTCAGGCCCATCAGGGATAATCTGCCTTTTGATTAACTCAAAGCCAACTGATTAGTCACCCAGTGACATATCCCATCACATCCACGCTGAAGGGAAAGAGATTATATAGGGCAAGTATATTAAGGTTGGAAATACTGGGAGCCATCTGAGGATTCTGCCTCTTACAACCATTTAGTCATTCTTTAGTTTTGATGGAGGGAGAATTGATGATTGTGTTAATCAAGATCTTCTGCATACAGATGGCGAAAGAACCCAACTCTAATGCACCTTAAAAACAAACGAGGGAATTTACTGTCCCATTTAATGGAAAAATCCAGGCTGGGTATCTTAGTTAGGTTTCTGCTGCTGGAACAAAATAGCTGGACTTTTAACTTGAAAATAGGAAAGGTTTATTTGGGGTTACACTTTCAGAGGTTCCAACCCATGGTCACTTGGCCCTGTTGCTTTTGGACCTGTGATAGCACAGTACATCATGCAGGGACGTGTGGCAGAGAAGGCTGCTTACCTCATGGCAACCCAGAAGCAAAAGGGAGAGGTAGGGAAGGGCTGGGGTCTCTGTATCCCCCTGAAGGGCACACTGCCAGCGACCTCAGGTCCTTCCACTCAGCCCACCTCTCGAAGGTTCTGTCATCTCCCAATAGCAGCACAGGCTGGTGACCAACCCTTCAGCCTATGGGACTTTAGGGGACATTTAAGAACCAAACAGTAACACTGGGGAAGTGTCTTAGTGGTTGAGGCTTGCCTAGAACATGCAGGGCTCTGGGTTCCATCCCCAGTGCCACAAAAAAAAAAAAAAAGAAAGGAAAATCTGTGCCACGAATCTAGCTTCAGGCTTGGATTAATCCAGCAATTGAAACAATGTCGTCAGACTTCATTTCCCCTGAATTATCACTGCTCCTACCAGATAGCTCAATTCTTAAGCAGGATCACCCCATATGATGGTAAAGATGACCATGTTATATCAGTTCCAGGTATATCTTGCTGCCTTTGCAACCCTCTGTGTAAAGAAGTTGCCTTTGTTCCAAGAGGTTGAGCAAAGTGCCAGCAGTGATTATTATTGGCTGGGCTTAGACAGCATACTCACCCCTGCACTGAGATCCTGATTGACCAGGTTCAGGTGACATCCCTGTCCCTGGTATGCCCACAAACCAGATAGACTGGATGTGGCAGAGGAAGAAAGCCTTAAGGAAAGAGGAGGGCCCTGGGGATGAACCCAGGACTGCAGAAACACTAGAGGGCCATAGATAGAGGCATACAGGTGCGAAGACCCGACTTCTGCTCCAGGGGATCAGGCCTGCATGGAGGAAACCACTGCAGAACAGGACAGGGGCCAGCATCCATTAGCCAGGTATAAATGTTGAGGCTTGAAGTGACTCATTGTACAGTGAGTGGGTGGGGCCTGCGATCACCGCAGGGGACAGGCTCAGCTTGACTTCAGCTCTGTGATTTAACCACCGTGAACCTCATCTGTAGTGCCGATCCTAAGAGTTGGGTTGTGAAGATGAGATGGGACAACGGACATAAATCCCCAAACTTGGTGCCAGGGACACAGTAGATGCCCAACAAGCATAAGCCGCATAGCCGGAGCATCAGGGCTCCAAAGGAGGACAAGGGAGGGGATCTGGGGTTCTGGGAGAGCGCCACGCGCCTCGCTGGGGGGGAGCCAGCTGGTAACTGGTAACACCCACCACCCCACAGCCTTCCTCTGGGAAATCCCTGCGCACCGAGCGCCTGATCCGCACCTCACTGGACCTTGAGCTGGACCTGCAGGCAACGCGAACCTGGCACAGCCAACTGACTCAGGAGATTTCGGTGCTGCGGGAGCTCAAGGAGCGGCTGGAACAAGCCAAGAGCCACGGGGAGAAGGAGCTGCCACAGTGGCTGCGCGAGGACGAGCGCTTCCGCCTGCTGCTGAGGATGCTAGAGAAGAGGGTGAGTGCCGTCTCCAGGGGTCCCAAGACACCCACTCAAGGTCCATTAGGTCCAAGAACCCTTCATTCCCATCCGCAAAGGGACCCAGGTATCCTTTTGCCCACTACTGAGGCGGCCACGAGGCATGTTGGGGGGCTGACTCGTTTGTGTGAGTCCTTAGGACTGATGCGTTCCCTTGCCTGACCTCCTTGCTCATGCACATCCGGAACCTAATCCAAGCCCGACATGTGCTTCAACATGGTAAAGCTGGGACCCTGACCATGGCTGCCCAGGCAGGCAGTCCCAGCGAGCAGCCCCACTGCCCCACACCCCGCTACGGAGATGAGAGCTGATCTGCCGGGCTCTGGGCTGACAAGATGCCCTAGAGTTCCCGCCTGGGTGAGGGGGTTTCCTGCTGTAGTGAGTGAAAGGAATTTCCAGTTGATTGTGGGAAAAGAATCAAAGGGCGGCAGTAGCACACAGTGGGTTTTATGTGGGCTGCGCTCTCGGCAGGTTTTACATGCAGGCAAAGCCCCTCATAGCCTGAGAATTCCAAAGGCGCTGCGGACTGCTACCCGGTGGGACAGTGCAAGGAAACCCCCAATGAGTAGGAGATTTACACATCTAGATGATGTCCCCTCAACAACACGATGAACAGTCTGGGAGTCAGAGAATTCCAAAGTGCAGGAGCCGTTCAGGATCTCTCAGAGCTCCGGACTCATCTCATCCATGTTTAGCAGATGTTCCCTTCAGTTTGGCAGGTCTTGCAAAGCAGGAAGGTTCCAAGTGGCTAAAAGACCTGCTTGCTTACTTGAGCTGTATGTAAAATAATTAGGTGAGAACTTGAGTTGGGCACCACCAGACTTCTAGGCCAGCAGATTCCAGACTATCATGAAGAAATAAACAGGATAGGACCAATATACAGAGACCATATTTGACTTGCTTATAATAAATAATACCTGCTACTCTCTCTGCTTGCCACCACAGCAAGAAAGACCTTGCTGCTTCCCTCTTCACACAGCCAGACAAATGGGGTCTACCTGGATCATCTCACCGGCCATCAGCCAAAATCCTAGCTCTCGGTACAAGCAGTGATATCTTAGGGCAGTAAGATGATGCTGTACTTCTTCCATCTGGACTAGTCCAAGAGCTTCAAACTGACTGGCAACTCAAAAATGTTTGTTTCTTCCCTATTAGTAATATATTATAATATATTTATAAATGGGGTTGTAAGAAGAGCATGGGGGACGGGAATATAAAGTTAGAAAGCTTTAAGGAGGAGAAGGAAGTAAATATATCCCAAACCTAATGTAACCTAATTGTAGTTACTGTTACCTTTGAGCTTCCTGGTAGTCATAGCAAAAACAGATGAGAAAACAGGCACATATATGCCCTGCCTTAAGAAAACACAATCTAAGAAAACTTGTGCTTTCAAATAGTAAAAACAGTACATCTATTACTTCTTCTAACAACCCATTTAAATGATGGCTTCCTTGACCAAAACTCTTTGTGCCATGTTTTCAAGGGTATGACATGAGGAGAGTGTGTTGCTCTCCATGGCCTCTTTCTCAAATGCCCTCACGTAGGTTTATATCAGTAAAAGGGTCATAAAGGACCTACAGCACTTATGCATGACAGCATGACTTGGAATCGGGTTTTCACCTTGTTTCACTTATTTGATGTTAAAGAAATTTCTTGACATGCCTAAGCCTCAGTTTCCTGGTTGGTAAATAGAAGGAATTACAAAATTTACCCCCCGGGGTGGCCTGAGGATTAGATGAGGCAGCACACATTTCTAGAGGCCAGGAGGCCTCCACTACCTCAAGGCCTTGCTTGCTTCACCCCCCAGATGGACCGCACAGAGCACAAGGGTGAGCTGCAGACAGACAAGATGATGAGGGCGGCCGCGAAGGATGTGCACAGGCTGCGCGGCCAAAGCTGTAAGGAGCCCCCAGAAGTACAGTCATTCAGGTAAGTCAGCGGCCCTCACCAGCCCTGGCCTCCTTCCCCGGCCTCGCTGCACTAGTCCCCTGCATGGGTCTCTAGCAGAGCTGTAGGGCGTGCTGTGACAGATGTTCATCCTCTGTCAAGCGTCGCTGCCTGTCTGGGCTTCTCGGTACTCGTCCCCCGCCTGTCTTTATCTGTCCCCACACAACTCCAGCTAATTCGCTAGATCCTCTTGTTCATGAACGAGCCACCTGCTCCAGGCCCCCCCCTCCCAGCGTTTCCATCACTGGTGATTGCCCGGGATTGGCTGAATGATGAGTCAGCCTGGGGGGCGTAGCTGCCCACCCCGCAGGGCCTCCCTGCCCTGCCTGCTGCCTGCCTGCTGCCTGCCAGGATCTCAGGGATCCACTTTCTGGCCACACTGGACTCAGGCATATCAGAGGAGCCCCTAAATGACATTTGGCTTGGGCTTTCTACCCACAAAGGACCTTGGGTTTCGACTTCTGTTGTCTTTTCCAGACAAAGCACATGTATTTGTGTATGTACTAAAGAGATCCCTTTGTGGAATATAAATATCTAAAATATTCTATAATTTATTTAACTATGTTTGGGTGTCTCTCAAATTTTTAACAAATGGAGAATCTGAAACAAAGAAATGCTGGAAGTCACCCTAAGACCTTTTTCTTTCTCTTGCCGTATGGGGCATTGGACTTGGGACCTCATACGTGCTACCTGAGTGCTCTACTCCTGACCTGCATCCCCAGCCCTTTTCCCTACTTTACATTGAGACGGGGTCTCATGGAGTTGGGTCAGGCTAGACTCGTAATATGTGCCCCTCAGGTAGCTGGAATTATAGGTGTGTATCACTGAGCCCAGGTCCAAGTGCCCTTTCAAACTCGGAGATGCCTCTGATTTGTATGGTTGGTCATACAAAAGTGTCCCCTAAAGCAGTGGTTTGCAACCAGGGATTTTTATTTATTTATTTATTTATTTTGGTACCAGGGGCACTTAACTACTGAGCTACATCCCCAACCCTTTTTATTTAAGAGACAGGGTCTCCTTGAGTTGCTGAGGGCCTTGCTAAGTTGCTGAAGCTGGCTTTGAACTCACGATCCTCTGGCCTCAGCCTCCTGAGCCAGGTACACCACTGCACCCAAGCATTCAGGGATGATTTTATAGCCCCTCCGCTCCCTACAAGGGACATTTGATTTGGCAGTGTCCTTTTTTTTTTGAGAGAGGATATCACTATGTTATGCAGGCTAGTCTCAAACTCTGTGGGCTCAAAGAGTCCTCCCAGCTCAGCCTGCAGAGTAGGTGGAACTACGGGTGTGCACCACCATGCCCATTATCCACACATTTTTGATTATCCCACCTGGAACCCTGGAAGGCTACTGATAACTCATGGTTAGAGGCCAAGGATGTTGCTAAACATCCTACAACATCTAGGGCAGCCCCCCCCCCCCCCCGAAGATGCAGGTGTAGCCCAGTGGTAGTGTGGGTGCTAACAGGCACGAGGCACCAAAGAGAAAGAATGATCCTGGACCGAACATCTCTCAAGAGACCCCAAGCCCCGCCCTAAGGGATGCCTCTTTACAGGGAGAAGATGGCGTTTTTCACCCGGCCTCGGATGAACATCCCAGCTCTCTCCGCAGATGATGTCTAATCACCAGAAAAGTATTCCCTTTGTCCCTCTGACCACGCTGTGAATGTTGACTGTGGCTAAAGTTATTTATGTGGTGTTATATGAAGGTACTGAGTCACAAGTCCTCTAGCTCTTGTTGGTTTGAAGATGAACCGATTTTTTTAGTTTGGGTTTTATTGTTATTATTAAAAAAAAAAATACAAAAAAAACCAGCATTAAAAATGACAAGATTGTATAGTTTGTATATTTAGGAATGTATTTTTGGGAAAGAAAATTTAAATGAACTAAAGCAGTGTTAAGTTACTGCTCTTCCTAAAAATCTAGATTTTTTTTTTTCCTTTTTTTGTACAGTCACACCTTTTAGAGGTTTTCCTGCAATAAAAAGTCATGTTTGAGGGACAATAATCCTGAAAGGACGTCCTACAGATGACACAGCACAGCTAACCTTTCCTAGTTAACATATTTTGTATAATATTAAAAAAAAAATGCAAAGACACCATTTTGGGGATTGAGAGGTGCATCCATGAATCTTCATGAGCTGTGACGTGTTTTATGTGGCCGCCTGACTGCGGTGGGCAGCGCAGAGCTGGCCGAGCATCCAGCCCGGGCTGGCGATGGGCCACACTGCTCTCAGATGCCCCGTGAAGCCACTGATGGGAGTGAGGGAGGGCTGCGGAGAACTCCATCCAGTTGTGTCTCCATCAATAAAGTGGCCTTTGAGAAGAATCTCCTCCCTCTTGCTTTTTCTCTGCCATCCCTCCCGTCTGTGTTTCCCTGATTTTGGACTCTCTCTTTCTTCTCATTTCCTCCTCTCTCATCCCCAGTCTGGGGGAGGAAGGGGATTTTTTTTTTCTTCTTTTGCCCACTCTGCTTATGTGCTCATTAGATTAAAATTCCCGATCGAGAGGGCAGTGTTCTCTATGCCTGCTCTCTCCTGTGGAGTCCCACCCCCCACCTTGAGAGGTAACTTTGCAGCTTCTTCCTGCAAGTGTTAATCCACATCACCCCCAGATTCAGTGCTGTGGGTCCTGGAGTGCACGGGTGGTATTGTGCAAGAAGCCAGGCCAGCGTTCTCTGGGGGAGTCACATCAGGAATGCCCTCGTGGGCCCTCATGTTCACAGGGCTCCACTTTCCAGAAGCGACTGCAGTGAGTCAGAAATCAGCTGTGGACAGACAAACAGCAACCACTACAGACTCTCGTCCCCCTTGCTCTCCCTGATGTCATCCTGAGCAGCTTCTCTAGAAGTATGTTGCGCCAAGCCAGATCAGAAGCACGTGGGTAGCCGGGTAAAAATGGAGGCTCTTGGTGCTCAGTGATAGTGCCCTTGCCCAGCATATGCAAGGCCCTGGGTTCAATTTCCAACACTGTAAAAAGAAGAAATGGTGCCGACTCTCAGCAGGCACCATGGTACATGCCTACAACCCCAGCTGCTCAGGCGCCTGAGACAGGAGGATGGCTTGAGCCCAGAAGCTTGCGGCCAGCCTGGGCAACATTGCAAGAACTAGTCTCAAAAAAAAAAAAAAATTTAAATGAAGACTCTTGGATCCCTCTCTGGACCCACAGAACCACCCTCAGTCACACTGGCATGGGCCCACACACCAGCATTTTACACGTATTCTCTTTTGAGCATGTGTTGGCGGGGGGGTGGTTAGAGATGGACCCCAAGGCCTCATGTGTGTTGGGCAAGTGCTTTACATCTCAAACTACATCCCAACCCCCACTGCAAGTCCTACACAGAGCACAGGGTTTTGTTTTTGGTTCTGTTGGTTGGTTGGGTTTTTTGGTGGTGCTAGGGATTAAAGCCAGAGCCTTGCACATACGAGGCAAGTGCTGTACCATTGAGATGCACCCAACCCTAAGGTGCAGTTTTGAGGGACCCACTAATATAAATTGAATGAATCCCAGACAGAGATGGAGCTAAAAAGGCGAGGCTGGCCTTCTGCTGGTGAGTCCCACCAGGAATGCCGATGTGCACGGCTTCTCCAGGAAGGGGGGATGCTGGGGGCCTACGGGGGGAGAGGAGCCCCCTTCACCTGCCGCTGAGGCTCTTCCCCTCTCTCCCGGCTCCTTGCCTGGCTGTTTCTTACATATACTGCACCTCCACGGACATGGAATCACTTTCTTACCCATGTGGCTTCAAGGGCTTTCAATGGATAGGAACTACGGTTTGAATGTGGTCTGAATGTGTCCTCTGGGAGATGTTTGTCTCCCAGTGTGCAGTGTTGAGGTGGTGGAACCTTTAAGACATAGTTTTGCCTTGTGAAAGGTAACGAGGCCAGGGCCCTGCGGCCTCAGAGGGGATGAGTGCTCATCTCGTGGACTGAATTCATTCCTGAGAATGGGTCGTTGTCAAAGGAGCCTGGCACCTTCCCCGAACACTCTTCTGAGTGCACCACTTGCCCCTCACACAAGCTCCCACACATGTTCCCACCATCATGGTGCCACCTGCTCTTGAACATCCAGGACTGCAAGCTAACTAAAAACTCTTTTCTTTATCAAGTATCCAGTCTCAGGTATTTTGTTATAGCAACAGAAAATAAACTAAGACAGAAGGTCTCCCTGGGTAGTATCCAGTTTATCACCACCAACCTGGGCTTCCTTCTTCCCCATGGCTTCATAGCTCAAAACACATTAGGCTTTGATGTATTTACTCTCCTTCCATGGAATTCTATCCCACATGTTAAAGGTTGATGTCATTGTTTCCACATATGACTACCAACATCATCCCTAAGTTAATTGTAGTAGGTCATGGAGCATAAGGATTGTGTCTCATGCTTTTCTGTGACTCATTAAGCTACATCTGGTCATGGTTCCAGCTTCATGGGGCAAAGAGGATTAGAGAGGGAGGCCAACCTGCAGAGAGAAGCAGGGGCAGAGGTGGGTTGGAGTGGAGGCATCCTGGGGAATGGGCTGAATCCACTGATAGCAGCTCCTTGCACTATCTGTAGTCCTTTTGGTGAGCTGAGTCAAGAGAACCTGACCAAAACATTCAAGGTCATGAGATAAAATTGCCTCTCAGTTGTACCTTCTTCCATGTTCGGCCCTCCCAACCACGGTCAGCCCCTCCCACCCCCTCTACATCAGGGAAGCAGAGCTCAAACACCTTCCTGGTGTGTGGGAAAAGCTACGTGGAACCGCTTCTGCCACCAGAAGTGTGTCTTATCGTTGAATGGAGGAGCCAGACCACCTCTGTGGAAGTCAGAAGGTCTCCTTTGAGCCATGGTGTTGAAATCTATAGACGGTTCCCTGGCAAGTCACCAACACTTTAGGTTGTTTGCAAAGAGAGAAATTAAAGGATAAAGAAAAAAAAAAAAAAACATCTACTTGGAATCGCGCATGAATCTTCTCCAGAACCTTCAGGAAACAAGCCCAGAAATGTCAAGGTTGAGCTGCTTAAGGTGACACAGATAATAAATGGCCAGACACCAGGATACAAATCCTGACTTCTAGCAAAATCTCCATTCTGTTCCAGCTGCAGTCTCTGCTCCATGGTGGATTGCCACGTCACATGAAGCCTTCATTGTAGGAACTTAGAACTTCTGATTTTGAAAATTATGGAATCCTGTTGTTCTCTGTGTGCTCAGGGAGGAAGTCAGGACACTGCAAAAGGACACTCTGCAAACCTCATTGCATCTGGGTGCCAGTGGTTTGCCTTTTGAACTATGGATCCTTTGTGATATTCACCCTGATAGTCTTTGTGCTTCCTGCCTCCCGAGAAGGCTGATGGATTCTTCTAGGTGCCGGACATGGAGACACGTGCCTGTTGTCCCTCCATTCAGGAGGATGAAGCTGGATGACTGCTTGAGCCCTTGAGTTTGAGACCAGCCTGGGCAACATAGAAAGACGCCATAAAAAAAAAAAAAAAAAAAAAAATTCTTCCAGCTTACTGTCCCCTTGTCAGGCAGGCTGCAGCCGTGCTGGCCTTCCTCTGCCTCCTTCCCTTTGGAGGCTTGCAGTTCCAGTTCCTTCTGTCTGCTCTTCTCCACCATTCTCACAGGCCCGCCCATCTCCACCCATCAGATCTCAGCTCAGATCTCACCCCTAGGGGGAGCCCTCTCCACCTTGGGCACCCTAGTCTCAGCTTCCTGTTCTAGAACCTGGCTTGTCTACTCCAGGGCATGGTGGGCAGTGACTGGGAACATCCTTCCTCACCGTCCTGACTCCAGAATGCAAGCACTTACCACGGGGACTTGGATGCCTTGTTTTCAGAGGGGCCTTGATAAAGATGGCAAAATGAATCAAACAAATGAGATGAAGAGTCTGCCTGAAGGTTCGGTCTCTAACCTCTGTCATTACTACTCAGGAAGCCGCCAAGGTTGTAAGGGCAATTGGGGGACTGAAGGCTGTTCTTGGCAGGTGCCAGTCCCTTGGATCCAGCTTCGCACAGAATCCTTGCCCCCAAACATGCGTAACCCTCCAGCATAAACAGGAGGTGGTGATTGGACAATTACAACCACAACGTTTAGATCCTTTGAATTTAGTTAGATTACTCAGAAATCAATCAATTCTTGTAACAATTAGTTTATTATTATTAAGTACTGGGGATTGAAGCCAGGGGTGCTTCATCATTGAGACACACCCCCAGCCACCTTTTCATTTTTTTTTAATTTTGAGACAGGAGCTCCCTAAGTTACTGAGGCTGGCCTCGAATTTGCAGTCTTCCTGCCTCAGCCTACCAAGTTACTGGGATCTGGCCAGTTTTATTATTTTAAGCACTAATGCTTGCTATAGCAAATCCCAATGATTAACAAAAGCCGTAGTAGCAAATCTTTCCACTCACTACAGACCTAGACACTGTACTTTCAGATCAAGTTTACCTATTTTTAATTCCTTTATACTTATAATAGGTAGGTGCTATTACAATCATCCCTGTTTTACAGTTGAGGAAACTGGCTCAAAAAGGTTAAATTACCTGCCCCACAGTGTTGGTAAGTGACAGAAAAAGGATTAAACTCATGTTTTCTAAGACACATCAGGATAGGGGCAAGTCCACTTCACCCTTCTGTCTCCACCCATCTA